GCTAACATGTTTTAGCATGTTGCTACCATGATTTAACACGTTGCTGGCATGTTTCAGAATTATTGAGCACTGATTGCTAGCATGTTTAAACATGTTGCTAGCATGATTTAGCAGGTTAGTAAGATAAAAGCCAACATAGGGCTAAATAGGAATCTATTTCTAGCGTTGTTATTTGCACTACATAATGCTATTAAATACAAGTACATAATTTGAGATATGCTCAAAATGACGATGTTCATGACTTTTAGAATGACAAAATTCTCTTATGTTTATTAGATATTCATATTAGACAAATAGAGAGTAGTGAATCACAGCAAGTGAGAGTGTCTGTTTTCAAACACCTTCTAAAAGGTCTGCATGTGATTGTGCTCTGCATCATACTAAAATTATAAGCAATTAGAGGCTCTTTTCTCACTCGGGTCACAAAGGGCCTGTACAAGTGTGGGAAGTGGACTCTATAGTAATGAGTATCAAACCACCCAGTGCGCTCAACTTGGCTACTTTCACCCCTTCATCAAATAAATAGAGGGAAGGAGAAGAGGTGAAATTTGGCGTGATGTTTTTTTTCCAGTTAAAGGCCAACAAACTACCCTGTTATTACTGTTCTCTGTCTAAAACTCATAGAAAAGAGCTTGTAGATTGCCATAGACATATACACTAGACCTCACCTTGGCTACGGCAGTTCATTGGAACGAATGCGTCAATAGAGCCGCCATCTTGAAACAGGGGAGCCCCTCCACTTTAATGCATCAATTTAGTAGGTACAGGTCTAATGGAAATAAAATCACCATAAATCATCATAAATGCGATTTTTCTTGTTTTTTTTTTTATTTGTTCCAACGGTCAGACATGTATTTATCATTGAGTCCAGAAAGAAACATTTTTTTTTTTTAAACATTCTTCCTAGTTCAGATTTCATCCGTAAACATCATACGCTGCACAAAAGTCCGCCACCATCAATGAATTCGAAGTAAAGGCAGAGATAGCAGCGTTACCTAGCTACTTCCTATGACAAGACCCCTGTTCCAAGATGGCGGCGGTTTTGACGCATGCTTAGAACCTCAAGGTGAGGTCTAGTGTATATGTCTATGGTAGATTGCTTAGAGAGCACTTGGATAGATTCAGCAAATATAGGTTATGGCTCTGGAAGTTTAGAGGAGAAAAGGAGAAAGTGAAACAAGCGTGAATATCCTCAAGCTTGAGTGGGTTATGACTGAAACAGACCACACAGATACTTTCCGCATTAATACAGGTGTTTCTTTCTGTTGTTTTGTAGTCATTTTAAAAACTGGAATGGAATAAATACGTGGAGTACTTGATTAATTGTTATTTAGCGAACCGCTTTATTCAAATAGACTTGCAGCGTATAAATTGCAGTGACAATCTTACATTATACCATAACAAGGGGACATTTTGTCCATTTCTTGAAATCCTTGTCTTATAAGCATGACCAGTATTGATTATTGTGATATTCTTTTTCAACAGAATATGCAAATTTATTTCAGTGTAGAGTCAAAAAGTCCAATTTTGCTTTTAATTGTACAAAAAATGAAACGATTTCTGAATGCAGCTCCAATGAATCAGTCCGTAGAGTTCAAAGTAGCTGTATTTACAAGGCACATCCATTCAACCCTGTTATAACTTATTTGGTGAGCTTCACAATTTACCACAAATTGTCTTTCCAGGAAGCAGTTCAGATGAAGCCCCTCAGTATCTTAAAGCATACCGTAAGACTGCAATTCCTTGATGAGGACCGTTTTCCTGACATCATAGAAGACTTTGCGGATGTTGTCAGTGTCGGTTGCACAGGTAAAGTGTTTGTAAATTTGTTTCCGGTATCGTGTTTCACGGCTCGAAGCTTCTTTAAGGTACAGTTCACTGATGTAGACCATCACTTCATCCTTGTTTTCCTTTTGGCCTGGCATCATAATAGGGTGGAGTTGGAAAACATTGAGATAAAAAAGACAAGGAAAAGAGAAATAAAATTCAAGAAAAAAAGTTAAAGAACAAACAAAATATTCAAAATGTCACCTTTGAAAACCAGTAAAATGTTGTTAAAGTTAAAGGCAGTTTCCATGTATATGGTACACTTAAAGACTTTTTTGGAGAATTATTAATGTCAAACTACTTTTGGTAACATTTTATTTTAATATGACCTTTTACATGTTACTATAATTACTTTAAATCATGCATACTTACATGCAACTAAACCCTTATTCTATATAAAATACATAATTACACTGTAACACAGGCACCCCTTGTTTTTACAGTCTTTTTTACAGCATGCAGAGAAGACAAGTGAATTATCAAGTGTTAATTTTTCAATTTCCAAAATTTTAATACAAATTGCAGTGTTGACTTCAATCATCAAGCACAAAACTGTTACCCATGTTTTTTGCAAAAATTTGATTCATGGGAAATGTGTTGATCAGTATCTAAAATGTAGCTATGTAACCGCTTCATTTAGGCATTTAGTGCAATCCTGTTACACATTCTTTTTTCAGCTTCAAATTTGATGTTTATTTCATGCTTATTAGTATGAAATTGCAGCGACAAAGTGTATTCAAATAGTTTTCAGACACAATGTAGCCCTCAAACCGTACTCCCTTTATAGCCCTTAATCCTGTAATTGTGGACAAATGTGGGCTACTCAGGACTCAGGTGTGATCCTAATTTTTATTTATTATAAATGTTATATCACTGTCTTCCATAAAGTTTTGTCTATTCATTTATGGTGTTATTTTTTTATTTTGGGGGTATTTTTGAATTTATTTACCTTTCTATGTAAATTATGCTTATTTTTATGTTTTTATTTTTTTAACTACATTAAAATTTCATTCCAATAAGTTCTTAGAGCTAAAACCTAAAGATGAAGTGACTTTGCTGTCACCTGGTGTCTTATTTTGGCTTATTTTAGAATGCTCTAAATTAGTTTTTCCCATTCATTTTTATGGGTGCCCATTTTTGACCCAAATACAAGATTAAGGAGTTTTTTTTCACCCACTTAACATTGTAGAATTGAGTCAAAAAAAAAATTGTGTGTTCAGGAGGCAAACTTAGGAAAAGTAGCCAAGTCTTGTATCGCTCAGATCAAGGGAAGTTTTTTTTTTTTTTTTTTTTAAATAAATCAAAACTATTTTGCCCACATTTGTCCAGAATACAGTTAAATATTGGTAACAGGGTTGTCAAATTTTGGCAACATTGTTGCAAAAATTGCAAACTATATATAAAATGAATAGACAATAAAAATGTAAAATGTCGTTTTCTTTAACATCTGATGTTCACAATAAGTATTTTCTATAGATCAACCACCTCCTTCAACCATTTAAGGAACAAAAAAAGTATATTTTGAAAACCCTATTCATGGAAAACGCCTCATTTCTATTTTAATGCTGGTGATGATTATAAACATATATATTAGACTTATTGCATTTCCAGTTTTTGTTATAATAATTTAGGACATAGCATTTTTCTTGTATTTATCATTAATTATAAACATATTGCAAAACAAATTTCATCTTTCCTGACCAATTCCCAGTGAACACACAAATATTAGAAATTATTTCAAATTTTAATGACAGCAGATGGACTGATTGGATTCATTTAGATGCTGAAATAACAGCTAACCATACCTAATTAGTAGGGTTTTCTATGTATTAATTTTAAATAAATACATATATTCCAGTGAAGTTTAACTAATTAAAGGGTTTTCTGTTTAAAGACACTGTTATATTTATTTATACACAACTAAGAACTTTCAGCAGAACTTCTAGTATATCTATAGTATATTATATACATCATACGGTAAAACTTTATTTTACAGAGTCCTTGTTACAAGTACTTACTGTAAAAAGTGATCAGTTGACTTAACTTAAGTAATTTACGCAATAATTTAAGGTTAATTTAAATTAATTAAGTTAATAATTTAAGTTAATTTAAAAATCATTTAAATTAAATCATTTAAAAGTTAAGTCACCTAATCACTTTTACAGTGAGTTATTTCAATAAATTATGGATTTACATGCAACTAACCCTGAACCAAACCCTATAGTTCATATATTACTATATTACTCAGTACTTGTGTTTAATTACACTGCAACAATGACACCTTAAAATGAGTGTAACCCATATAAACAGTCACACATTTTATAACAACTTAAACTTGCATGACAGGAAAGTAACAGTATAAGCTCCATTTGAAGAGACTATAATGCTCTAAAATAATATAATAGTTTTAGATTATGAAAATAGGCTAAATAGAAACAGTTAGTATCTTGAGGCCACGAGTTAGTATCTTGAGGCCACAAATTAGTATCTTGAGGCCACGATTTACTATCTTGAGGCCACGAGATACTATCTTGAGGCCACGAGTTAGTATCTTGAGGCCACGAATTAGTATCTTGAGGCCACGAGTTACTATCTTGAGGCCACGAGTTACTATCTTGAGGCCACGATTTACTATCTTGAGGCCACGAGTTACTATCTTGAGGCCACGAGTTAGTATCTTGAGGCCACAAATTAGTATCTTGAGGCCACGAGTTACTATCTTGAGGCCACGAGTTACTATCTTGAGGCCACGAGTTACTATCTTGAGGCCACGAGTTAGTATCTTGAGGCCACAAATTAGTATCTTGAGGCCACGATTTACTATCTTGAGGCCACGAGATACTATCTTGAGGCCACGAATTAGTATCTTGAGGCCACGAGTTACTATCTTGAGGCCACGAGTTACTATCTTGAGGCCACGAGTTAGTATCTTGAGGCCACGAATTAGTATATTGAGCCCACGAGTTACTATCTTGAGGCCACGATTTACTATCTTGAGGCCACGAGTTAGTATCTTGAGGCCACAAATTAGTATCTTGAGGCCACGAGTTACTATCTTGAGGCCACGAGTTACTATCTTGAGGCCACGAGTTACTATCTTGAGGCCACGAGTTAGTATCTTGAGGCCACAAATTAGTATCTTGAGGCCACGAGTTACTATCTTGAGGCCACGAGTTACTATCTTGAGGCCACAAGATAGTTATAATTATTTTTTTTTTTGCCAAAGTGGGACTAGGGGGGCTCCGTAGAAATATTACTAAGAAAGCAGTGCACTGACTCTTGGTCTATTTAAGTGTTCAGTAAAGTCAATTATCAGGTCAGTCTAGCTGGCAGCTACGGTGTTGAATTCTTTTCACCTCCTCCCCCTCGAAACCAGAACTCATTGAAAATCTGTCAGCCGTTTAGCTGTAAATCCTCATACTTTCAGAGTGATGTCACTTTAAGCAGACTGTCAGGGTTGGAATGAGGGGCAAGTGTGTCATACCTTAAGAACATGCTGTTTTTATCCACCAAAATGGCGAGACAAACAAGACGTAGGTATATAAGAAAAGATGGAGAGAAAGACAAAGAAAACTATAGGGGATGCACAAGAAAAATTCATTCAAGCCATCCTTTGTGCGTCTCTCCAAAGTCATTATTAGATTGGCAAAAACTGGGCCGCTCAAAGCACCCCGTACTCCTGCAAAGATTTGATGAGGACCGTGTCTTTCACGTCTGTGAAAACCATCCGGATGTTATTGGTGTCCGTTGCGCAGGTGAAGTGAGGGTAGATGTTTTTGCACTCCCTTGACTCTGAATGCACGGCCTTCTGTTTATACATCTCTCTGATGTAGTTCTTGGCGTCTCTTGCGTCCCGCTGTTTGCCTGAGGGTGGCACCAAACCACAGAGGAGGGGAGGGGTTAGTACGAGCATGAAAAGCTATAAGTGATTGAAATGAAGAGGGGGGGAAGGGGTTAATGAGGTGAGCAGACAGAGAGAGAGAGAGAATCTGACTAGGCAAACATTTTTAAAATCACTATTGTCAAGAGCTTCTGCTTGAAAATTAATATTTAACCCCTTTAGAGTCAGTGAAGCTCAAAGTTCGTTTGTATTAAGGGTGCAGTTCATTAAAAATGGAAAATGCTGTCATCTTATACTGACCCTGTATGATTTTTCTTTGATCAAAAAATAATTTGATTATTTCTGCATTTATTTGATCAGTAATATTGTGAAAATATATTTGATGTATTTTTATTTATATAACACAAATAACATTTGTAATATAATATTATATAAATAATTATATAATATTAAAAACAAAAAATTAAATTAAACAGTGTGTGTGTGTGTATATATATATATATATATATATGTATATATTAGGGCTGTGATTAATCGCATCCAAAATAAAAGTTTGCTTACATAATATATGTGGGTACACTATGTATAATTATTTTATATATATAAATACACACACATGCTTGTATATATTTAAGAAATACTTTCAGGTATATACTGTATAAAGATTTATATATAATTTATATTATATATACGTAAATATAAATATTTTACATATAAATAATATTTTTTTCTTAAATATACATGCATGTGTGTGTATTTATATATATATATATATATATATATATATATATATAATTAAACACAGTGCACATAAAGTAAACAAAGAGAAAGAGAGAGACTGAGCCACTGAGCTATAGTCCCATCAATCGAGCGTGTGATGTTATTGTGTATGATTTGGCAATAGGGGACAGGCTATACGCTGGTGAAAATCGGGCCGACTCCCCGAATTTTTAAATATTGACGGGATGTGCTCGTACGATGGTGACACCCATTGAATCGTAGACTACGAAGGAAATGTAGTATAGGGGGATAAAATGTCATCAGCATGCACTAGTGGTAAACAAATAGAGCCAGATGAATCACACTTTGGCAATTGTGGTTTTTAATGTGCTCTGAAAAAAGAGGAGGAAGTGAAAGAGGAAGATATGAATGTGGCAATGGCTATGGAAAAGTGAATGCAACTTTGCATTCCAAATGTTGGCTAGTCAGTGGATGTAGGTCGTAGCAGCAAACACACTGAGATGATCATGCTAATTTCTGACTGTCTGTCTTTGAACCTCTCTCACTGTACGCCGTTTAGGAGCAATGACCACAGAAATCGCCACGATTGGTCATCTTTCGTCTGGGACAGCCCAAAATCAGTGTTCTGGTCATTGAGTGAACGTAAACAGTCAAGAAAGACAACACATGTGTAACAGTCTTAAAGTGACAGCAGCCTAATAGTCCTGTGTCAGTGTTTTTAATGTTAATTTGAGCAGTTACACCCCAAATATATTAAAGGGATAGTTGACTTTGAAATCAATTTTTTATGTTTTATCTCACCTCAAGGGCATCCAAGATGTAGGTGTCTTTGTTTCCACAGTATTTTCAATATTTATATTTTTAGGTCAAGCCGTTCTTGTCTGTCAGTCATATAATGGAGGTCTATGGTCACCACCTCAAAGAGCATGCACAGAGAAGTCCAAATTAAACATGATTTAATGACTCGTTTTTATATAGAGTATTATAACAGTATTTATATAGTTTTTACCTCATGTAACCACAGCCACGTCCAAGTGATCTGAGGGCGCGGGCGTTTCGGTCTGCGCAAGTGCCGGAAGTGATATGTAAATATGGTTGTGAAAAAAATTTACTGTTGTCTGTTGATATATCGATGTATATCTATTATGTTTAGATCTTCACAGTGAAAGGTAACACTACCGAAATCTCCGTGTAAATAATGAGTGACGTACACGCTTTCCGGCACTTGCGCAGACCGAAGCTCCGTGCCCTCAGATCACTTGGACGTGGCTGTGGTTACAAGAGGTAAAAAGTAAAAACGATATAAATACTGTTCGTTTTCTCACACAAACCGCTCGTTTCGTGTCTTAGGCTATCAATGTGTACTTACATTTACGAGTCATTAAATCATGTTTAATTAGGACTTCTCTGTGCATGCTCTTTGAGGTGGTGACCGGTTTGACCTAAAAATATCAAAATTGAAAATACTGTGGAAACAAAGACACCTACATCTTGGATGCCCTTGAGGTAACAAGACTTTTGTAACAACTTTTGTCCATACTGTCACTTCAATTTATTGTTCTTGCCGAGTAAAAGTATGAATTAAAAATAGTTGTTAATTGTGACATTTTCATTACAAATCAATTCACTTCTCGTTAATACAATTGAAAAAAAATATTGTTATTTACATTATATTTGTAAAATGTTGGTATTTTGTTGTCCTGAATTTACTTTATTTTTATATTATTTAAATTTTATTTGAATTATGATAATATAATGATAATATAATAATATATTTAATTTTATAATAAATACAAGTGTATATAAGGTAAATCATGACAGAATTATTTGTTTTTAGGCGTCCTGTCTCTATAAATATAACCATAACAACTATGCTGTCTATCTTTAAATCTCAAAGATGGAATTACCACTTTCAAGAGTCTGTTTGCCGCTCTTTCTGCCTGTGTAAATGCACAGAATTTGCTATTTTTTAGTTGCTGTTGGTAACAGGGGTAGAGGCCAAGAGACCTAAAGTGATCAAACTGGGGCCATTTCCACAAATAGTGCTCCATATTAGCACTTTTATAAGGAACTATATCTGTCCTACCCATCTTCTGTGAAGCAAAACCTGTTCCAACGGCTCTATCAATTATGTTTCGTACAAACTCCCATCCTAAGGGGCAGGTCAGGTCAGTGCCTATTTACTATTTAAGTTGTTAGTGCGCAAACCCTTCTTTCCATACCTTCAAAGCCAGGGAAGTAAGTTTTTAAGTCAGACGTCTTAATCTTCTCTTCCAGGATGTCCATCTTGTTTAGGAAGAGGATGATGGAGGCGTTGGCGAACCACGGCGAGTGGATGGTGGTGTAGAAGAGCGACAAGCTCTCTTTCATACGGTTCTGGAGCCGGAGAGAAGAAGTGTTCAGAGCATATATATATATATGTGTCATTCTCATTACTGTTGGTCATCTTGGTATTACTTGTACTGAATTTTAAGTTGTCATGAAATAGAAGTTTAAGTTTTAATAAGTGATAAGTGTCATTTTAGTATTATTTATAATTCTAAAGTAATGTTAATGTAAGTACTATAGTATTTATATACTATTATATAATTCATTAATATATTCATTAAAAAGAAATCATTTTATTTTAAGATTTAGACTTTTTGTCATTTTATATTTAGCTTTATTTAACATCAGTTTTAGTAATTTTAGTTATTTGACACTTTTTAACACTTTTTAACACCCCTTCCTTGATACAAGGAAGGAGTGTTAAAAAAAAAAACTTGTGTATTGTGATTGTCAAAACATTTGGAATTGTATTAAGTTTAGTGACAACATGTCACAAAGTTTACATGGTACAATAACTGGTAGGCTACTGTTTTTATTAGTGGATGGCAAAAATGTCACAATTTTAATTCATAAGCGTGCGATATGATTCCGATCTTGATTCAACATTGATTCATTTGGATAAATATCAGGCACAGTAGCTGCATGGTAATTTTTCTAAAAAAAAAAAATCAACTAATGCTCTAAACAAACAACCTGGCATTATTATTAAAGGTTAAATTGAACAACTTAAATTAATATGATGTGGATTTTATAATAATAACATTATAATACATTTTAATGATATGAGTAAAAGTATAATATGTAATATAGTGCATATACCTAGCAAAATACTCCTCTATGTAGGTATTTTTACATGCTAACTAAGATGCTATGGTAATCAAATGGCTTTCCTGAGATAAATAACACTAAGCCATGACATATTGTTCTTCAGCTTTTTTATTGACCTCTTTCTGCAGTTGAAACAGATTTGGAGCGTTTTGCACATTAACATTGCATAGGCGAACCCGACCCAAGATATGCTAATCAAAGCCATTGATTGGTATGAGAAGTAAGAGGGAGATGCTCACCTCCATGTTATTTTCCTCCAGCACCTGGTCAAACTCACTGAGGGAGGCTAAAAATATGAGCGATGTCACATTCTCAAAGCAATGGATCCACTTCCGCCTTTCTGACTTCTGGCCACCAACATCTACAATCCTTCGGGGAAAAAAAAGTGGTAAGATCGAGATTATTGTTTATTCTTGAAACTTTCTTGTCTAAACCAAAAACATTCAACACTAACTGTAAACCCCTATTGATTTGATTACTTCCTTGCTGTCATATATCAACTTGCGTCTTGTTTATAAAACTTTTTCAAAGCAATTTACATTTTCTGAAACTTGCCACAACAAGGCTATAGAATGTTCACTAAGGTTGTCAAATCATTGCTATTGCTAATGTGTTTTTTTATACACTGTAAAAAAATATTGTTGGTTTAACTAAAAAAAGTAAGTAACCTGGTTGCCTTAAAATTTTAAGTGAGTTAATACAACGAAGGAGAATGATTTAATCATCAGAAACTCAAAATAATAAGTTATCTCAACTAAATAAAGTTGATTTGACAAAAGAAAAAATGTTGTGATAACAAATCTTGAAAAATCTTTTTTTACAGTGTAGGTGGTTGCCATAAAGTAAAAGTAAATCTTATTACTGTACAACACTTTTATTACACCAGGGTTTCCCTATCTGCGATTCGTGACCCCTAGAGGTTTAAGACGGAACTGCAGGGCATTGACGATTTAAATGGATAGTTCGCCAACAAATGAAAATTAGCCCATGTTTGTTTGCCTATTGTGACTTTTTTTAAATTGAAATGGCTTCTTGAACAATACAAAGCGTTGGGTGGGGCTTGATTTCGTCCATCGGGAATTGATTGGATGGTTGTGGTTTGCTATTGATCGATCTCATGTGAGTGACATGTTGTCCCGCACTCTCTCAAATTACGTGGATAAATCAATTATAATAAATACCGCAATATTCAATTTTTTTCCAGGAATTGTCCATTTCAATTTCATGGTGACTTTAAATCATAAAAATTTCAAACTAAAATGAATAAATAACTTGAAAAATAAAAACGTAAATATTTGAAATATTTGAAGGCCCGGTTTCACAGACAGGGTTTAGATTAAGCCAGGATTATAAACGTGTCTGAGAAAGAAAAAAAAAAACATTACTGGTGTGCATCTTGAGACAAAACAATGTCACTTACATATTTTAAGATATCTCAGTGCAAGTTGCTTTCATTTAAAACAGCTCAAACATGCATTAGTCTGGGACTTGTCTGTGAAACCAGGGGGAAATATGCTTACAGTACCTGAGGGTTATCTTTTCCACGCTGAAGGTGTAATCGTTGATGCCTGTGGTGGGGAATCGGACTCGCAGCACATCCTGGGCTGTTGGGATGTAGTCTGGCGCCGCAATACGCTCCAAATTTGTCATATAGCTAAAAAAATAAAAATAAATTCAACATACTTGAGTGTTACATTTCAGAACTGTGCAAGTGTGATAAAGTGCCACGATGTTTGCCTTTTGCTTTATTGGTGTTTGTGCTTTAAACGGTAGTTTAATTAAACATCCAGGTTTGTTTGTGTTTCTTATCATGGCTAGGTTTGTAGAACTGAAAACAGGATCGGGGAAGCAGGAGGAGAGAATGAGAAGGACACGCAGAACTGTGTAAAGGAGTGATTAGGTAACGATTAACAAGAAGCCCTGATACACTTTACAGGAAATTTGCTTAACAATATGCAGCACTGACTTAATTTAAAGGGCTTAAGGTCTGTAAACGGCATTAAAAAAAAAAAAAAAAAAAAAAAAAAAACTTATGACAATCTGAGAACTGAAAAGCATCAAGGCATCAATCGTCAACATAAGAGAATGGAGGGAAATACTGACTTGCTTGCCCTGCATGCTTGTCTAAAGATATAGCTGTATTGCCCTCCAATGGTACCATTTGGATCTGCACAAACTATTTCAGGGGTTTTTCAACATTATATGCTTTTGACACAAAAATTCCTTGCTTGGTTTAACAGGGAAATTAAAGTGATTTTTTTAATTAGACAATTTTAAATTAAACAGTTAAATTTATTGTTAATAGTAACATTTTATTATTAACATTATATGTTACTATTGATACAATACCAATATTTGTATATATCTATATGTTAGAAATATATGAATGTAATTATATAAATGCAATTCTACTAATGTTGGTCATTTAATATTTAATAAATACAAATTAATATCATAATAGAATTTAATAAATAAAATAATGAATATATAAACATTAAAAAATAAATAATTAATAATGTAAATATAATTCTAATTTTAAAAATCTAGGTAAAAATGCATTTAGTAAAGATTGAATAAATAGTAATGCATATTCAATTTAATAAATGTATGTGAAATAGTTTTTTTTTATTAATTAATTTAAGTAGTATTAAGTATTAAGTAGTATTATAATAATAGTAATAATTCTGTCTTTTTCACGTTCTGTGGTCAATATGTTTTACAAATATGTACTCTGCTGTTGTCACAAATAGTCAAAATTATTTAATAAATCCAACCGGGAACACACGGGCGAATAAACAACCACAACCACATTAAACTTAGACGATACCAGATAAAAAAGAAAAAAAAAAAAACACAGGAAACTCAGGGTTTCCAAACAAAACCGGTGTTAACTAATTAAGTACTAACAAGGGAAACAGAAACTAAACAAAACAGAGCATACATGTGACAGCTGGCTTTTAAATGAATATTTTATGTCCATATTATTTATTAATTTTCATGTAATGAACATGCTAATGTACAGTCAACTGGTCATCATTTTAAAATCAAACCCTTTAGAATGATATAAGACTTCATGTTAGGGTCCTGATCACCCTGTCCGAGTTGGATTTCTGATAGAGATACTCACTATTCTGTCGAGTCCAGAAGCTGATACTCTCTACGGCGACCGTAACAGGTCTTGATACCATCGTCAGCCCAAAGTTTATGGATAGCTGCCACATACATTCTGTCCAAATGTGTTATCTGACATACTTCCACTCCCTGAAACTGTTGCCCATATACCTAAGGATATAAATGGGAACAATTGAGGCTTGTTTATAAGAATATAGTGTGGTTGTAATTTGTAATCCTGGTTTGTCTGAAAGAAGAATCTTACAGTCATTCGGTTTAATAAATACACACACACACACACACACACACACACACAGTATTCTTATCATGCTTATACATTTTATATTTATAAATATATTACATCATTTTTATAGAATTTCATAATTTATATTTTAATGTACATAATATACATATTCATAAGTATATATTGTATAAGTGTATATATATATATATATATATATATATACATTCATGTATATATAAATATCCAATATACTGTACATGAATATAAGTGTAAGTATCATATATATTTATCGTATTAATATATTATAGATTGATTGGTTTATGTACATAATTAAAATATTTAAGTAATACTAATACTTTGCATACCAATACCGTATAATAATTATAATAACTATTATACTTTTTTTTTTTAAAGAATTTAGATTTTTTTTTTACAGTATATTACTTTTTTTTGCTTGTGCAAATTGTACCATCAGTGGGCGTCTCAAGGAACATTGTGCAGTTCATTTCAACTTTACAAATGGGAGAGGTTCAAAAACAATTAAGAGATTTTCTTTGGCAACTCACCTCGTTCTGTGGGTTGGAGTAGGGAATCCTTAAGGTGTTCATCGCCACTGTCAGAGCCTTCATAGCTGTGAAGATATTCTGGAAAACCATTTTAGTGTAGCCACGCCTATCTTCTTCCGAAAAGCCCTTGCCATGAATAATCCTCATCTGCTTAATAAAAGTCGTCTTCCCGCTTTCTCCAGTGCCTGAAATCCACAAGAATAAAAGGACCTCCTTCATATTAAATGCCTTTAACTACTATGTACACACATTTGATTGAATCATTTGTAGAGCCAGACCGATCGGCAGGCCGATATTAGGCATTTTACAAACTATCGGTATCGGCAGTTATAATGACCGATAAATGAATATTTCAAAAATAAAATTAAAACGGACGAAAGAAACACGCTTGAACAATGTCATGAGTGTTGGAGTTGTATAGTTTGTCCACCAGAGGGCACTCTACACCGTTCCTGTTGGCAACACTCGTTGAGTTGGTCACGAGACATACATTGGTTGAATAACAATTAAAAGAACATCCCCATAAGTTCTCTTAACTCAAATAGCCATGACAAATTAGCTAGTAATAATTACGTTACGTTGCTACCGTGTAGTTGACTGACTGTCCTTTTAACTTTTGACAATGTGACTGAAGTATTTCTTTAATAGCGCGTGACAGTTATAGCAATGAGACGCATCATCTCTCCTAGGCCTGTTATATTGAAAACGTATGTTTTACAATTTGCAGTATGACGTTATCCATTGCTAAATTATGGCTCATCATAGACTACTAGCTAACCACAAAGCTAGCTAATGCCACTATCATCAGTCTGTTCTGTTGTGACAAAAGAAACAAGTTTCTTTTTAAAATGCATTATCATTTTATTTTAGTTAAAACTTATAAATAACTACAAATAAATAATGTTAGGGAAATCTGTTAATGTTTTGTTGCACGTTTCTGAAAAAAAAAAAAAAATAAATAAAAAATATCGTCCGATATATCGGAATATCGGATTTTAAAACCAACAAATATTTGTATCGGTATCGGCCTTCAAAATCCTTTATCTGTCGGGCTCTAATCATTTGATACAATGCACTTATTTGTGTACATGATTTATGTAATTACATCTGTAATTAATTCTGTAATTACAGAATTACCCCTTATCCCCAAAATGTTCCCCCATTAAAGTGTCAAAAGCCATGAACCAAGCCAACCAGTAACAAAGTGAATCAAACTTTGATTTGAAGCAAAAAATTATTTGAAATTCAGACAAAAATACAAAGGCTCAAGACAGTGTATTTGACGGATTTAAGTTAGGGAAAGAACTACAATCCCATGAAGCATTGTGAACAGCGGAATCAAATAAAAAATGATGGAGATAAAACTACTCCTTTACAAATGTTGATTAAGGGGCGTTTACACGACAACGTTTTCAACTAAAAATGGAAAACCTTTTATGTGTTTTTACCGTTCATTTAACTGTTTTGGGAGCCTAAAAAAACAAACTTTTGAAAATGGGTTTCAAAGCACACGTTTTTGAAAACGATACCGTTATAGTCTCAGTGTAAACTACAAAAACATACATTTGTGAAAACGTTGACGTCATGCACGTGTGCATTAAGTGTTCAGTCTATATGCGTGTAGTGTTTATTTACAAAGTGACATCGCTAACTACTGGCCAGGCTGCAAAATACAGTTTTTTTTTTTGTAGTTTTCTTGGATCCATGTGAAGGGGGATCAAATATTTTAAGAGTGTAAGGAGACCGACTCGATTATGCCATTCGCAATGCTTCATGGGAGAGTGGGCAAAGCTAAAGAGCTTTTTTGGCGCATTTAGCTTTTTCCGACTCTCTGATTGGTGGAGTTTTCTGTACTGCATCATGGGTAATGTAGTTCTTCACTGTTAAACTCTTATTTTAAAAATAAGCTGAAATAATGCGGGGCTGGCGGCTTATACCATGGATTAACAACCTCGTGGCGAACAATAGGTCTGTCTTTAAAGGTTCACAAGTTATCGTTCAAAATCAATTTTCTTATGGTGAAAATGGAGATATTACTTTCAGAACCCGACCGATGCATTATATGGTGGCAAAAGTGTTTTGCAATACAAGATGAAAAAAAAAAAGTGCATTGACACATAGTACATAGTATCTAAAAGACACCCCAAGATAAAGTCAGGCCGAATTAAAAAAATTAAGTCAATATTACATGAAATAGAAAAGGGATGTCAAACACTACTTCTGAAACCAGGTCATTGCATGACAGACAATAGAGAACCGAAAGGAATGCAAGGTGCAGATGATAGCATATGTGGCTTTTCTCATGCACAAAAGAATGTTATCTGGCCTGTTAACAAAGTGAGATGTTTGAATCTCAGACTGACATTCGGAGACGTGCCGTGTCAGAAAGCATGTGGCCGGACGTGTTTGGATGCCTTCACCATCGGGAGACTTTCTCTGCTGTAAAGTCTACAACCATTTCTCTCTTATTGTTTTCGTTTGATGAATTTGAGCAGATAAGATTTAACAAGTTATCGGTAACTCAAACTGCAAATATTTGACGGGCAAACAATCACACATCACGTCATCAAATCAGCGTGAGCAGTGACAGAAAGGAAATCATTTTTACGATGAGCAAGATTTTTTTTTTTTTCAGGCATGTCCTTCTGATGTTCTTCAAGAATGTGTCCCTCAAAACATCACGAGACAATGTTGCTTTTTTGTAAAGTTGACTTGCTAAGTTGCTATTGACAACTTTCTCCGGGTAGATGGCTCAACACATGCTGTGATATTCTTTACAACACCCTTATTACCTTTTAATTTTAATTTTTTTTAAAAACATAAATAAAGGTTAAATAAATAAATAAATAAAAAAAACATGCATAAACATGCATTTTCCAAATAATGGTTTACTCCCTTTACAGTTAAGATGACTCCAGATACACTCACCTGATCTTATTGCCTTGGGTGATTTCTTCAGTGTCTATAGTTAAATATATTTTAATAGGCAAAAAGATCTTACCTAATAAAAGTATTTTGATTTCTCTCCGTTCTCTTTTCTTCTGGTCAGCAAGGATTCTTTTGATTTCATTGTGAACGGCCACGGCACTCTTCTCATCTTCAGACATGCAACAGGTGCACGTCGTATACCACCATCTCCAACAGCACCCCATGTCTCCTATAGGGCAGAATGAAACTTTATGCAGACCACATTTGATTTCAGTTACCCTTTTAATATAATGGCTCTTAAGAAAATGGGGAATTAAGAAATGTAGAACGTATAGGTTATAATTGCGAGGTTGTTTAGAGTCAAATCTTTCGAAAAGAATCAATTGGTTCACAAAACCGGTCAGTCCCAGATGTTCTTCAAGGAGTTGTAATTCAGTAAGTAACATTTAAGTGGAGAAATGTTTGTAGCTAAAAAAAAAAGGAAATTGATTATATCAAATGGTATTTATGTACATCATAAGCGTAATTTGCAGGTGGGACATGTCCCCACCAATTTTTGCTAGGGTCAATAGTCCCACACCACCTTTGAAACATCTTGCAACACTGATGTAACTAATGGACCATTAAAGAACATGCTTTGCACCAACACATATTGGATGTTCTTAAATGACAAATTAAACACAATGTACTATTTTAAATCGATTGCTGGACTTTGGTATGATAGGTAGGCCTACATCTGATTTATGATTTAGCCTAGCATTGTATTAACCCCCTCACCCTCACACATACACACACACACAACAACACACTTGTCTTGTCCCATGCACCACTTACGCCACTGTATGCTACTTTGTTTTTAAGAGCCATGTTGGCTGTAACAAACTGAACTAGGCTACCCGAGCTTGAAATATGCTAGAGACTGAGGTAATTGTGTTGTGACATAAAATAAACACTTAATCGTTTTATTCACTGCTCGAAAGAACCGATTCGCGGAAATGAGCTGAACTTCCATCATTAGTGTAGCCTAGCCTTAAATGTGTAAAATTCTATTCCAACGAAGAGGCTATGTATTAAGGGGCTATTCTGGGGCAAATCAGCTCTTAATTGTGATATTGTTTTAAAAATCCATTTTAAAGAAATACATTAGGCTATACAATCTCGAACTTAGCCTAAGAAGAAAAAGATGAAACCTAATAGGCTACTTATAATTAACGTTACAGGTTGGCAGTGCCACTGAACCTTTTATTATTATTTTAAAGAAAAAAAAGAATATAGGTTACTTAAATAGACTATAAATGCGTTGAATCACTTACCTGCATTCGTCGACACACCTGTACGGGGTCAGTAAAACGAAACACGATCCATTTTCCTCCCTGAGCCGAACTGGATCTGAACTAACTTCTATCTCCTGTAGAAGTTTTCTCAGAGGTCGCCCCCCGGAAAAAAAAATCCAGATTTATCTGTGCATCTATCTTCACATCATTTCCCCCCTGGCTTCAGACCGATCTACCTGCAATTCAGGAAAGTCCTTCTTGAACTCTGTGAATTGGCTATGCGCTGTCTCAAAACCTAAACCAGCTGCCTACTTAGAGAGCGGTTTGAGGCAAAGACGCAAGCGTTCTTGTGTTTAAATGCTCTAAACGGTGCAACGGAGCAGAATAGAGGGATCTCGAGGTGCTTTTTCAAAAGTTTTTCGCTTGACGAAAAACGCTCGAGACGCGACGCAAGACTGACGCATGCGTATAGACGAAAAACTTACGCGGCCGGTGTGAACGTCCCCCTAGGCGTGCACCAGTCAGCATTTTTAGGCATCATATCTCCTAGAAATGCCGTCTTAGTGGACAGCTTCCTAAGTTTTTAAGTGACTATAAGTGACTATAAACCTAAAAGCTGCATTAACCCTTATAGAAAATGAATAGAATAGTAGCTGCTGAGACTGACCCAAGAGGATCGAGTAGGCTAAATATTATAGCCTACATAAGGCTATAGATTATACAAAACACGTTCTAAGTCACAAGTGGTGTTAATTTCTTGAATAGCTGTACAGGTATTTGACACTCCTCTCTCGAGCTCTGTGGATGTCAGTCTTTTGTATTCGCAGGCAGAACCGGTTTAACAGGCCTTTCGCTGTGTTGTGAGATATCGAGATTGCCTATAGTCCACATATCGCCATGGGAACCAGGTAAGTAAGTCAAAGTCCTTGAGATAGTCAGAATGATTTTGGTAGGCCTATATTTTTAAACAGAGAATCTATACCAACCTAGAACAATTGTAATTCAAATAGCACCTACTGCTTTGTTATTCCAAGCAGTTGCCACATGGTGCCATCAAAGACCTATGAATAGTCCCATTCCAATGTATTTCATTTTCATATATACATCTCACACACACACATCTCAGCTGAAGTGACCTGGAAAGGACTTGAAGGAAGATGGCAGCTTGCATTTATTCAGGCAAGACGAATCAAAACATACTTTTACTTTAGAGTAAATTTGGCTGCTTTGTGCCATGTAAAGGTCAGCATGCTGTTAGTTTCAGTTTAATCTTAATATAATATAATAGTATAAAAAATAATTTAAATTCCAGGATGAGGAGGATATTTTTTGGAGTATAGACCATTTCACAAGATGTAAACAACACTGGTCCAGAAACACTTCCTGTTTCAGTTTGTAACTGTTTTCTTTATTTCACATGTAAAGAAAACATCTTAAAGATGTTTGTTTAACTTTTTGATTCAGTTTTAAATGTTCTGTTGGTTGTATTTTATCCCAGCTTTTATGTAGTGTTAAAAAACTGAAACAGGAAGAGCTTCTGGACCAGTGTTGTTTACATCTTGTGAAATGGTCTATAGCTTGTTATTTGTGAAGCATATCTGCTGTGAGAGCTGTAGTTGTGGAATTGCTAGTCCCTCCAAATGCAATGCAATAAAGATGTAGATTCAGGCATTCAAGAATGATTTAGCTTTCTAAAACCATTCAAATGTGTTGGATGTGTTGAGCTGCTTTAAATGACATTGAATCGAAACGTGCTTCGATACAAGAATATGTATGACTTTTTATTGCTTTTGTTCAGTGGCCTATTTTCAGTGGGAAAAGTGTCCTCTAGTTTTGTGTTATAGATTTAAATGGTCATGAGATTGAGATTGTAAATTTTGTTTCAAAAAGACACTGTGTCCTTATTGCCCTATGAATAGAGGATAGTGTGATGATAATGTGTATGTGTGTAGGGTTCCTGGAAGTGGAAATCCCTGACATTGTTAATTTAACATTTTTGACTGGTCCAGTGTCACACTGGTGCTAATTTGATTATCTGAGCAGTGTTCTAACAGCACTAGGACATTTCACTGTTTGTATCACTCAACTTTCAAATGTATACATGTCATCTTTTATATCAGATTCTTAAATTTAATCAAATTCATTTAGAATAATAATGGGCTATAGGGCTGTGCTACCAATCAAATGAAATCACTATCAACACAAGCCATGCTTGCATTGCAGAGGTGGGACAGAAGCTGCAACTGAGTAAATCACAGATGCATTTACAGTGATTATAATTGTTGTATAAATAATGTTGCAAGATTAATAATTTCAGAACCATAACATTATATCGTGAAGCATTAATTGAATGACTTTGGAATGCAGTGGTCTGTTTACTGAAATGAAGCATCCTCAATGATGTATGCAGCCGATGCAGCCGATGCAGCCTTCGAAATGAGACACAGCAATAGTGAGCAACTGTCCCGTCTGTCAGATGGAGTGGCAATGATAGCCACCAGAGGGCACACCTCCTGTCTCCTTGATCATATCATGAACTGCATTTCCCATGATTCATTGCCTGGACTTACACTCACCTAAAGGATTATTAGGAACACCTGTTCAATTTCTCATTAATGCAATTATCTAATCAACCAATCACATGGCAGTTGCTTCAATGCATTTAGAGGTGTGGTCCTGGTCAAGACAATCTCCTGAACTCCAAACTGAATGTCAAAATGGGGAAGAAATGTGATTTAAGCAATTTTGAGCGTGGCATGGTTGTTGGTGCCAGACGGGCCGGTCTGAGTATTTCACAATCTGCTCAGTTACTGGGATTTTCACGCACAACCATTTCTAGGATTTACAAAGAATGGTTTGAAAAGGGAAAAACATCCAGTATGTGGCAGTCCTGTCACTGTGGGCGAAAATGCCTTGTTGATGCTAGAGGTCAGGGGAGAATGGGCCGACTGATTCAAGCTGATAGAAGAGCAACTTTGACTGAAATAACCGCTCGTTACAACCGAGGTATGCTGAAAAGCATTTGTGATCCACAACACGCACAACCTTGAGGCGAATGGGCTACAACAGCAGAAGACCCCACCGGGTACCACTCAACTCCACTACAAATAAGATGGTCTGATGAGTCTCGATTTCTGTTGAGACATTCAGATGGTAGAGTCAGAATTTGGCGTAAACAGAATGAGAACATGGATCCATCATGCCTTGTTACCACTGTGCAGGCTGGTGGTGGTGGTGTAATGGTGGGGGATGTTTTCTTGGCACACTTTAAGCCCCTTAGTGCCAATTAGGCATCGTTTAAATGCCACGGCCTACCTGAGCATTGTTTCTGACCATGTCCATCCCTTTATGGCCACCATGTACCTATCCTCTGATGGCTACTTCCAGCAGGATAATGCACCATGTCACAAAGCTTGAATCATTTCAAATTGGTCTCTTGAACATGACAATGAGTTCACTGTGCTAAAATGACCCCCACAGTCACCAGATCACAAGCCAATAGAGCATCTTTGGGATGTTGTGGAATGGGAGCTTTGTGCCCTGGATGTGCATCCCACCAATCTCCATCAACTGCAAGATGCTATCCTGTCAATATGGGCCAACATTTCTAAAGAATGCTTTCAGCACCTTGTTGAATTAATGCAATGTAGAATTAAGGCAGTTCTGAAGGCGAAAGAGGGGCAAACACAGTATTAGTATGGTGTTCCTAATAATCCTTTTGGTGAGTGTATGTTCTGATTCCTGGCACCTGTGTGCGATCATGTTTGCCTTATTTAAGCCTTGTGTGTTTTGTCAGATTTGATTGGACTATTTTGTGGCCAACATAGTGCATAGTCCTCCAACATGTTTTAGTCACACTGGCATGATTGCATTTAACTCCACTTTTAGACAAACACTCACAAACTTTCCTAAGAAATTTGCCCTCGGGGGAAATCTCTGCTGCCATTTTGAAGTGTTTTCAACCTTGTCAAGTAGGCAAGGGAAGTTTATTTGGACAGAACATCCACTCTGTTTTGACTGAGGGAGCGAGTCTACTCAATATATATATGGTGCATTCGTAATTACCATAGATTTCAGCACGTGCTACCTGACCTCTGCAGATTTTTTTATTAACAGTCCGAGAACGTAACGTGTTGTCACTTCGAAATTATGGTAATTACGACATGACGTGAGCGCAGCAACACTTTGTAGACCACAATGCAACACAGTTATGTGACGTCACATCAGATCGTGCTTAATTTACCCCCACCCCACTTAACTCTAGAGTATGATATTGGAGTTATTTTGACATTTAACCACATATTTAACCAACATACTCTACCTTAAACTGACTGTTTACAGTTCTAATTTATTGTATAGTTATCATTTTTCTTTGTGTAATTTTTTACATTTTCACCAACAGCCCAAGCATACAAACAGACAAATAAAACTAACTCATAATTACATTTTGTCCAGGAATGCTCTGTTATAAATAATGATAACACATTAATTTGGCTGATGAGTATGCAAACTGAAGGTGCATTTAGGGCTCATTAAATAACTCCATTTTTCTCTAAGGACTGGACAAGGACAATGTTTTTGACGTCAGAGAAGACGTCGCGGATGTTTTTGGTGTCCGTGGCGCAGGTGAAGTGAGAGTACATTTTTTTGGACTTCTTTGTCTCGTAGGAAATTGCATTCTGTATATATAAACCTCTGATGAAATCCATGGCATCTTGAACGTCCCTACGTTTACCTGAAGATGGCATCAAACCACAGAGGAAAGGAAAGAAAGAGTCAATTAGGTATGACAAACAAGAGATAATGCTGCCTTTCACTTTGAATGAAGGTGCGCCAAACTACCTTTGAATTTAGGAAAGTATGTTTTTAGATCTGAGAACTGAATCTTTTCAGCCAGGATGTCTTTTTTGTTCAGGAACAGGATGACAGAGGAATTAGCAAACCACTTTGAGTGGATGGCCGTGTAGAACAGTGACAAGCTCTCCTGCATACGGTTCTGTAGCCAAAGAGAGGAAGATTACTTTAGTACAAAGAGATTTATCAATTTTACACTGAAAGGAGAGATATTAGGAAGCATACATCCTTGTTATTCTCCTCCAGAAGTTGGTCGTACTCGCTCATGGAGGCTAGAAATATGAGCGATGTCACATTTTCAAAGCAATGGATCCACTTCTTTCTCTGTCCTCTCTGACCACCGACATCTACAATCCTGAAAAGACAAACAGAATAAAAATTAAGTTTAGTCACATCCACTTTTATATTTTATCTGGTGTGGTGAATTTGCACCAGGCCCAGATTTGTCCCTAAAATCGGTTCCTTATTCCCTTATCACATTTCTTCTGAATCAGATGGCTTCTCACCTTGATTTTTGATGTACAGAAACACTAGGGACAAACGAGGTCATTAACAAGACACAGTTGAGACACGAGGGCAAATTAAACACTATGGCAACAGATGAATGAGAGTAAGAAACTGAACTAGGATCATTATAAAAAACGAACTCAAAGTTTGTGATGCGAAACCATCTTAGCAGGTTGAAGGCTCATGGTGGAGGCAATGGAGGGAGCAGCCATGGTGGAGGCTTGCATGAGAGGCAAGGCAGAACCAGGGGGATGACTGACAGAGGTGGAGCCAGTTTATGAGGAGACCCAGACGAAGCGGAAGAGACCGGTCGACACCGAAGAAACTGAGACCAAGGTGGATCCCTAGTGACGAGTGGCCGAGGTGGAGCCTCGGAAGAACTGTATAGCACAGAGAGAGAGTTAAGAGACGACCTCCTTGGCCATGACAGGGCAGACAAAGAATTAAAAAACGGCCTCCTTGACCAATTCGAAACAGGCATAGAGTTCAAAAACGACCTCCTTGTTTGATCCAGGACAGGCAGAGAGTTCGAAAAAGTTCTTGCTAGTTGTTCTTGGAAGAATGAACTCACAAGGCGATGAGCACACAGAACGCTGCTGACAGTTTGAGACGATGTGTTCTTGCTGGTATTGCGCAATAGTACCCCCACACAGACGCCGTCTGCAGTGGCCAAACATAACGAGGATTATTGACGTTAACAACCAGGCTTTATTGCCCAAGCCTACCCTCAGCTTAAGGGATTACCCTACATACACTACAATGTAACGTAAATTCATAACAATAAAGCAACACCTGTCTTATTTTAATTCTGCTTCTGTTGTTTGTTTGTGTACATCATTAGCCAATGGCGGGAAAAAATGGCGCTAATATTCAGGTAACTTAAAATTCTTCTTCCCGCTCGGAGCTCCTTCCTCGAATGCCGAAATGAATGATGGGATATTTCTGCCGTCCAGTTCACAATAGCTACTAACCGATGCAACGGTTTTTAACCGTTCTTGCCAAAATGCAAATTTGTGTTTTGGGACAGTACTTTGGCCGCGACTGATGACGTTTCACAAGTCCACAAGAACACAAGTACAGACAAGAAGGCATATTGAGAAACGGCCAAATTAATGCTTCCTCGCTGCTCTGTCCTCCAGCCTGTGACTCTGAAACTCATTGGACTCATCCATCTTTTAGGGCATCTCAATTTTCTAATTACACCATGAGGAGGCAAGAAACGAGGAGCGAGGAAGCTTCCTGAGGAGTCATGAGCGAGGATACATAGGTGCATCCTTCCCTTGCATCCTAAGGGGGTGGAACTAACAGGAAAGGAAAGGACATGAGGATGCACAAACAAGAAATGAGAAGCACCCATAGTATGGCATTCTTTTCTTAGCGTCCATTTCCATAGTGAGTTGTCGATTCGTTGCTCTGTTGAGAATGTCTTGTGTGGATAGGCTACAATGAACCTCTCTAAATTGACTGAACTTACTCCTGGACATGTTTTTGGGACCCGCATACCTCAAGTAAGATTTGGGCTAATTAACCGAGAGTTCTGGGTGTCTTTGACTGTAAGATAACCTTGCTTTCTGGAATACACCTCAGGAATATGTGGGTATGTTGATGGACCCATAACGTTAATGTTAAGACAGGTTGTCCATTGCCTTACCTGAGAGTCATCTTCTCCAATTCAAAGCAATAGTCTATGATGCCGGAAGTGGGGAATCGGACTTGAAGAATATCTTGATTTGTTGGGATGTAGCCTTCGGCTGTGATGCGATCCAAGTCATCAATAAAGCTTTAAGAAACACGTAATTCAGACACTTTTATTGAAAACCATACCATGTGCCGTAGAATTGGTTATGAAGGCATTGTTTGCATATTTATTTGCATATGATTCATTTCACGAATTGCCATTGGCATTAGGAAAAAGACAAGAGGAGGTAGACAAAGATGAAGGAAGTTACTAAAAGACAGGAATTGTCTTGAAAACACTTACTACTTAGTGGAGTCTAGTAACTGATACTCTCTGCGCTTTTCATAGCAGATCTTAACGGCTTGGTCTTTCCATAGTTGACGAATAGCCTCTATGTAATTTCTCTGCAGCTGTGTTATCTGATGTATGTCCAAATCCTTGAACCACTGGGCATAAACCTACAGATATCACAGAATCACGAGACTGGAAATGACAATTACAGTGCAAGATCTTTATTAAAAAGTGTCCCTATTATGCTATTTTAAAGGTTCCTAAATTTCTCCTCCAAATTTTTTTACATGCATCCAAGGTTCAAAACTTTAATTTTCCTCATAATATACATTGCAGCACCTCCTCTTTCTCACAGTGTCTGAAACAGTTCGATAAATGTTTCAGTGTTTTTAAACCCATCCTTTCCTCTGATTGGTCAGATGGCCCAGTTTTATGCGATTGGTCTACTCTGCTCTAATTCACCTTTGGCTAAGCCACGCCCTAGAATGTAGATTGACCAATCACAGTGCAGCCAAGAACGAGCCCCCACAGAGGTCGGACACTTTTTCACAGCCCTCCATTGATTTTCAACACAGGCATCTCATATTTTTGGTCTCGCCAGGCTATTACCGTCGTAGTTTTATCCAAAATATGGTTAAACGTTGTGCCTGGGGCATTTGTAACAAAGATACGCGTTTCCCAGAGAGGTTGGAGGGGGGTGTCTGTTTTTTCCCATCCCAAAACCGAAGTCAAATCCTGACAAGTGTCGTCTTTGGATTAAACTGTGGATGTCCTCAGTCAGCTAAACCCCTCAAAGATCAACAAGCACATCTAACCTTACTGTGAGTGTGAAGTTATACAAGTTAGACCGTTTTATAATGTTTTAGGTTATGATTTCGGTTCTCATACTGGTTGTTGATTCGCTAGCACACGCTGCTAATAAATACAACGTTATACTCATGTAGTCTGTTTGCTTTGTAATAGCGATTATAGAAGTGAATAGAGACCTACCCAGCTTTGCATGAACAGTGTTGCTCCCTGATATTGTTAGTCCCAGCCTCCGTCTCGATTAGGATATGCGTGGTTCATTTTTTTGACTGTGACCGGTAACGTTAAGCTTTTGCCTCTATTTTGGATGCCTTGTTGTTCTTGCGTTTCACCTGAATGTCTTGAATATAACCTTCGAACGCATATTGCAGCCCCGTTTGCCTACTTCTATCGGACACTTTATTTGCTGCTTTATAAAAGTTTGATAACATTTCAGCAGGAAGAGCTGTCACAGCATAAGCCATGCAGAGCGCAGATGAAGTTTGACGGATGTAGCAACAGTAACTAAGGGGGGCGGAGCTTAGCCAAAGGTGAATTGGTGTAGTGTTACACATTTATTAAATGTTTAATTTAGGTTCCAGTACAATAGTATATAAACTGAGAAAGTCTAGTAGACTGAATTTAGCATTTGAGGTATAAATGAGCAAGAGATCCTGCCAGTCCTGGTCTCTCTATTGTAAGTTAAATCAATACTCTTTGTCTTTAATGATTGGTCTATTCTGGGGAGCATGATTCTTTTGTGTAGTTAACTTATATTTGCTTTTTATTTAAATTTCCGTTGTATTGTGCACTACTGGGCCACTGTACCAAAGGCTGGCATTATGCAATTACAATCTACATAGGTTTGTGCAAGAAGTAAGACTGGAATTACTGACGACTCGTTTCAGGCAGTTCAGAATCGGTTTTTACTATTGGGAGACAATGGTCCATTCTAAATGGCACCTAAAATTGCGAGTTTTTCTTAGTGTTATTATAAATGTATACATAATTTAATAATTAATATTTTTTATAATCTATAATAATTTTTTTTTTATTTATTTACATTTGCCAAACCCACTACTATTATGTAGTTTTATAATAGTAGTGGGTTTTAAATAGGATTGTTGATATAAAATGGCCCTCATGAATCTCCGGCTCACCAGAAACACACTCGGGCTCTTGATCACCTCGTTCTGTAGGTTGGAGTAGGGAATCTTTAGCGTGTTCATGGCTTCTGTTATTGCACTCATAGCTTGTAAGATATTCTGGAAAACCAGTTTAGTGTAGCTACGCCTCTCATCAGTTGAGAAGCCCTTTCCATGAATAATCCTCATTTGCTTCGTAAACGTTGTCTTTCCACTTTCTCCCGTGCCTAAATGAAAGCAAAACATTTTAATATATATATTTATTTTTTTATAATTTCTTTGTAATTTTTCTTCAATTTAATTGTCTTTTCAGAAAGCTCAGCACTGAGTGTGTTTTGATATTTCTTCCTTAAGTTTTATGAACTCAGAAAATACACAGACGAGCCATTACATTATGACAACCTACCTAATAACCTGTAGGACCTCCTGCAGGGTTGTGGTGGTGTACCGCAAACCCACTTTTCTACTACAATTACAAATGTTCAGTCAGTTTAACTTGGAGGCCAAGGCATTAACAGTGGTTCCTCGAACCATACCTTGACGATACTAGCAGCATGGCATGGCGCATTATCCTGCTGGTAATGGCCATCACCAGCAGGGCATCAGTTGCCATAAATGGGTGCACTTGGTCCACAACAATGTTCAGATTCCTGACAACTGTCAGGGATTGTGCTATTGGGAAGGAAATATCGCCCACAGATTAACACCGCCCTGTCCGCCCAACAGTGCATCCAGGTGTCAAAGCCTCTGTTGGAAATACGCACTCTACAAATTCTACAAACAATGCCCCATAATGACAAGGTGAAAGAAGTTTGTTTGAAATCTTTGCAAATTTATTAAAAATAAAAAAATAAAAACGAAAAAAAATCACATGTACAAGAATTTGTACAGCCTTTGCTCAATACTTTGTTGAAGCACCTTTGGCACCAATTACAGCCTCAAGTCTTTTTGAGTATGATTCTCCAAGCTTGGTACACATATTTTGGGGTAGTTTCTTTCATTTTTGCAGAACCTCTCAAGCTCCATCAGGTTGGATGGGGAGCGTCTCAGGTCTAATCAGCTCTTATATAATCACATTTCAGGAAAGTCCCTCAAGAGAAATTGCCCAAAATGGTATTTACTAAAAACAAATGTTCATGCTCTGACTAAATTTATTTTCACAAGAAAAAAAAAGTCTTCAAATAAATTTTCACCAAGATAAATTCTATTTTGTGTGCTTATTTTTATACCCTTTTCCACATGATAACTTAAAATGAATCAACGTGAAAGTTTTAATGCAATTCAGATAAAAGACTGACAGAATCATCTCACCTAATAAAAGCAACTTGATTTCTCTCCGTTCTTTTTTCCTCTGCTTTGCAAGGATGTGTTTGATTTCCTTATTTATGGCGATGGCATTCCTTTCATCTTCAGGCAAGAAGTAGGTGCAACATCCACAGTAGTACATCCCCATTTCTCCAACAGAAATTGACTGTAAACATAAATAATTATTGGCATTCAGCATTAGCCATATTTTGACCATGTAGTTGGGGTAAATTTATGTTTTTAATATGGGGGAACACTTCTCAGATAGCAAACTGATATTGAATAAACGTAGAAACGACGTTTCTCGTGACTGACATTGTTTTGCTGGTCGATTTTAGTCAGACGCGCCAATATTCAAAACTAACGAAAAATCGACAGAGTTAGTTGTTTTCCTAACGTTGAAACGATGTTGATTTCAAGTTGATTTTGCAATTGAAAAAAGTGACGCAATCCCCCTGAATTCACCCTATAATCGTATATGCAAATTTGGCAGTTTGGGTTTCTTGGACGTGTGCTGGGAGCATGGAAAAAGAAAACCCGGAGTGGAGTTTGAGCGGGGTAATTTAAAACCTTTTGATGCGGTAGAGATTTAAAACTCTTATCCAAACCGGTTTTTTTTCTCCGTTGCCAGGTAACACGTAAAGCCGGTATTACTCGATATCAGGGCTGTAACCACCACCATAGTGTGTTGTTCGGATTATTCTTTAGAAAAAGGTTAAAAAAGTTACATTTTAGGGTGGTCTAACAGCGCCTGTCAATGGGCTCTATGCACGGCGTTATTTCCGGTGAAGGATTAAGGATGCTCGATAACTTCCGCCGATCATAGAGTCCAATGCAATACCGAGAATTTATATTGAATTTTATACTCCATGGTTATATGAAACGTTAGTCACAAAAACAGATAAAACAGACACCCCTCGTTGTGTTTATGCTTCTTTTTAAAATTATATTAAATAAACATAACTATATATAAAATTACATCTAAACGTACGTTTTCGTTTCAAAGACGGGAGGACAGTAAATATTCAAGACTCTGCCATAATCCCGTTTTCTCCGGTTTTCCTCCGCTTTAATCTACACAACCGGAAATGGACGAGCATCCTTACGTCAAATGCGGAACTTATGCGTGCATATCCACAAGTTTCCTACGCCCCATGAGGCCTTGCGTCAAAAGTGGGCGCGACTTCCGGTTGGAAGTAAACAAAGCACGATTTGACATGCTTGACACTCGTTCATTCAACAGTTGACAGTCATTCAAGTTATAGCGATCCAAACTAGCTAACGATGTGGGAACACAACCTCAACGAAATTAAAAAAGGTGAAATAACAGTACCTTTACCCTCCGCAGTAGTTGATTGGGAGTATTATAATAACATTATTAATAATCAATACTCATCAAGGCATGGTGACAGACAGTTGTGCGAGCTGACAAACAATTAAAATAAAAAATACACACTTAGTCATTGTGCTTTGGAGTTTATTCAAAATTATAAATGAATGTGCTACTTGAATACATTAACTGGCACATTTGGTATTCTGTCAACACAGGCTTTGATCCTGAGTTTAGGTGCAACATCAGTAGAGAACAGCCAAACACATGCTGATAAAAGTTTATAGAATATTAAGAATTTAAACAAATGTACACAGGAAGATTCGTCGTCTTTTGGGAGGTGATGGAAACTACAGTCGTTGGCAGGAACACTCTGATTTCGTTTTCAGCTTATGTTCAAAACAATCACGTTTAAGCCACTGAACTAGTTTAGACCGGTTATACATACAACCGCGAACAGCACATGTTGTCCATGAGCTCCGTAACGACATCTCTCATAAAGATTTGCGTCTTTAAATAGTAAAATAATTCTCCGAAAAACAGCTAGCCTCTTCGCTAACTAACACACAAAATACCATTGGAATGCTACTTCCGCCGCCTCACCGGAAGTTTCACCCACTTTATTTTTTACAGGAGCGCCCCTCGGAAACTTGTGGATAGCCCATACTAATGACTAGATGACCAATTCCGAGAAGATGGCCTTACTGTAACCTGTAAACAGAAGCAGCGCGCGAATTCAGGGCTTGACGTTATACCCTTTAGTTTTAACGGCCAGTGCGAGCCGAGGTAAGAAGTAGTTAAACATTTAATATTTGCCAATTGTTTAACACTATAAATGTTAAATGGACGACGGTAATATCTAGTGAAGCAAACTACACGATTTTAAATGTTTTTAAATGTAGCCGTTTTGAATTGAAAATTGAGCCGAGCATTTTGCAATTTGAAATGTAACAAAATACATAAACGGAAATTAAAGTATTTAACTAGAACTTTAATCCTTAAATTCAAACTAGAACAAATATAATTTTGTCCGCCACTTATCACAGCCCATTCTCACCCCCAAGGCGTCACTTAACTGACGCCTTGGGAAGCATTTGGACATGCTTCAATATCTGACGCTTTAGGCGCCCTTTAGCGTCAGTAAAGCCTAGTTCACACTACGTGATTTTAAGCCCGATTTAAGCCCGATTTGCAAATCGTTGAGTCGCCGACAAGTCAGGGTGTTATCGTGTGCAAATCGCGGGCGATTAGCGGACGATTAACGCTCGCCAATCCGTTAGTGTGAAAGAGCCAACAACGCACCAAAGACAGCTCGCAGACGCCTCGCAGACAGGTCACCGAGCTCAGAAAAATATCTAGCATGCTAGATATCTCGAGCAGTCGCGCGACTCAATCTCAGTGATGTCATGAGTACAGCCAATCATAGCAACGCATGGGTTGAGGACACCAGGTAAATCTTACTTTTTCTTTTCTTTTTTGCATTTTTTTTTCTCAGAGCAGATCGTCGAGCAAACAGTGTGCAGCACTAGTTTCTGTCTGACGTCCATATTCGCGTGTTGTGTTCTTCTCTGCAGTTTCGCGTTATTTCTGGTTCGTTTTATTGCGTGGTTTTTCGTGACAAAACATGGTTTCTAGACCAGATAGAATCGTGTTGTTGTCAACTCGTCGTTATTTGTTTGATTATTTTCAAGATTTAGACCGTATAGTACTGAAACAGCTCTCATTGAGTCACAAATGATATGCTCTTATCATGTGATCGTGGTTGTATCTCTATGTAGTGCGTTGTTAACTCGTGTAGTGAGTTACCTCCTGTTGTGGATCAATCACGTTGTGTTGTGTGGTGTGAACAGCTAAACAACTTGAACACTCATGATTTCACTGAGAGCAAGTCATGTAGTGTAAACTGCACAGTTCAGCCCGACATTTTAAAATCATGTAGTGTGAACTAGGCTTAAGATGACGCCCTAGGATCGCGTGTACCCTACCCCCACCCCACACCTAAACCTAACCGCGTCCTCTAACAGACGCTTTCCTTTAGCGTCAGTTAGATGACGCTGTAGGATCGCGTCATGTAAGTGACGCTAAAGGGCGCCTAAAACGTCAAATATTGAAGCATGGTCAAAGGTGACGCCTTGGGGTGAGAATGCGTTGCTTATCAACAGATCTGGCCTTATAATATGGAATAGGTATGGAAGGGATTAACGTTGTACACTTCAAAAATGACATGAGGTAATTGTTTGTTGTGTGATATAATATTGCTTAGTTAAAATAATGGAATACATTTGAATTGTTGTAGCCTAGATAGCGATATTAGGCTGCACTCGAAACAGCACTCTTGCTTAAAATAAGCCAAACTTTTTTCAACGTGTAGATCCAAACATCACCTTTAATAATAGTGTAACAACAGCTCTGTAATAAAATGTAAACTATACTTAAATAAGTAAACAAATAAACAGTCATAGGCTATATCGTATTTAACATCAGCAAAAAGGGAAATAGGGTAATAAAGAGAATCACCCACCTTCATACAACAGGCTTTCCACCTTCCTTGAAACAAACAGTGACCGTGGCACCTTGAATGAGTTTTCCTGAACGCAGTTTTCTGTAAATCACTTCAGATTTACCAGTTGCACTTCCTGAAAGCCTGACATTAATGCATCATATGCCAGGTATGTTGTAGAGCAAAAGACAACCAATGAGAAGTCAGTGGAATGCGCCATGGGAATTTTCCTCCCAGGTTTATTTAAACTGACACATCTTTTTAACTAGCCTAGTAGTTCTTTCCATGCTGTTTATTATCTGTTTTTGTTGATTCATTATTTACTTGCTAGGGAAGAACGGGGCTAGTTGTCACACAGGGAGTCTTAAAAGCTATATTGGAGTGGTTGCCACTTTTTTGTGCCACAATTTATTAATTACATTTTTTTTTTAAAGAACAAGTACACTCTATTCAAAATTGTGGCATCACTATTTAATTTTTCAATATGTTGAATATTTAGGCTATGAGGTTAGATCTGCTTCCCTGAAATGGACACCAAAGGCGTGAGCATGTAAATATATATTATTATTTTTTAACAAAAGTATAGTGAAAACCTTAATTACATTTCTTTCAAGCATGCTCTGTCATCAATGATGTTAAAACATAGATCATGCAAACATTGCTTTATAAAATAGCAGTGTCTTTAAATGTAGATGAGTTGACATTAAGATCAAGACTGAGTGAGTGCAACTGAAGGTGCATTTTGGGCTCACAATAGCACTTTATTTATATATACATTTATTCTACATTATAGATATCATTATACATATTTATAATTTCATTCAAACAGAGCATCAAGATAGTGTTTCACAACGTTCGGGAGTATCTGGCCATCAATGTATTCCGTGGCACAGATGAAATGAGAGTAAATACAACTGGAGTTCTCCTTGCTAACTGCTTTCTGCTATACAGTATACAGGTACAACTAAGAAAATAGATCAGACAGATAATGCTGCCTTTCCTTTAATTTAATGTGCACCAAAGTACCATCAAATTCAGGAAAGCATGTTTCTAAATCCGAGAACTGAATCTTCTCAGCCAAGATGTCCATTTTGTTCAGGAACAGGATGACAGAGGAATGAGCTAACCTTGAGTGGATGGTCGTGTAGAACAGTGACAAGCTCTCTTCCATACGGTTCTGTAGCCAAAGAGAGGAAGAGTACACAGATTAACAGATGTATTACACAGGAAGGACAGGAGGCATATGAGAACTAACAAGAGGTAGGCCTTATAGATTGCAACATTGCCCTTTTCCAGAAGTTCAGCATTGTGTTGTCTTCTGGTTCTGTGGTTGAGCCGCATTGAGTGACACTGCTGACGTAAGACGCTGCTGACGTGTATCTGGTGCGCCCGAGCTTCGTTTACAGTCTGAGGGAGACGCACGCTAATCTTCACAAACATGTCGAAGGATTTCGACACAGACTTGCATTTTTTTTTTTGCCTGGCCATATTTATTTGACGCACCAGATACACGTCAGCAGCATCTTATGTCTTCAGCGTCACTGAACGCGGATTGACAACAGAACTGGAAAACAATGAAATGCTGAATAATGTCTTTGTTTTTGTTATTTTTGGACCAAAATGTATTTTTAATGCTTCAAAAGATTCTAACTAACCCACTGATGTCTCATGGACTAATTTGTTAATGTATATGTCTTTATTTCCTATACGGTATTCGGACAGTATACGGTACATTTTCAATGGAGGGACAGAAAGCTCTCGGACTAAATCTAAAATATCTTAAACTGTTTACGTTCCGAAGATGAAAGGAGGTCTTACGGGTTTGGGACGACATGAGGGTGAGTCATTAATAACATAATTTTTATTTTTGGGTGAACTAACCCTTTAACTGTGTTTTTGTGAGGAAAAGACCATCAATCCTATGAAGAATTGCAAACAGCATAGAATTAAAAATGGAGAAATATAAAACTACTCATTTACAAATGTTGATTATATGTATAAAAACAATACATTATATATATATATATATATATATATATATATAATTTAAATTATATATAAATCTACAGTATATACAGTACATGAAAATATTTATTAAATATATACAATATCTCAAATATGATTCTTGATATAAACTGGCCTTCATGAATTTCTGGGCTCAACAGAAACACACTCGGCCTCTTGATCACCTCGTTCTGTGGGGTAGAGTAAGGAATCTTAAGGCTTCTATTATTGCACTCATAGATTGAGATATTCTGGAAAACCAATTTAGTGTATGGCTACGTCGTCAGTTGAGAAGCCCTTGAATATTCCTCATCTGCTTCGTAAATGGTGTCTTTCTGCTTTCTCTCATGCTTAAATAAAATAAAAAAATAAAAATCATGTGCTTCTGCATTGAAAACCTGGACACCTGGCATTTTTCAACTGCCTGAAAATAAATGCACATAATAGTGGATTATATAACTTTACACTCTAAAAATAGCCATTATGTGATCTGTCCTGTATTGATGTCTTAATTGTGTATTAATTGAATTGTCTTTTCAGAAAGCTCTTCATTGAGCTGTATGAAACCAGAAAATATGTCATAAATGTTTCCGCTTTAGTGTTAGGAAAGATAAAAAGCAAGTTGAAGATGACATGATGAACTATGTTCGTTTTCAGAGTAATAAGAAAGGCAATTATGTAACAAAATGTTTCACTTTCACAGTACTGCCTGTAACTACTATATACTGTACTTTGAGCATATTGAGCCTTTATTGAACATGAGACAACCGAGTGAAGGGGAACTGAAGTCATACATCCTCCATGAGAAAGTGAATTTAGTTTTAAGAGTCACAGGTCTATTCAGTTGATGATCACAGGTCATGAATGTCCCCTCAAAAGATAATGAAACAAACTTAAAATGCCATTTATCTGCATTGTGTCATAATATATAATGCTCCAAGTTTACCTTGCCTTTTAGAGACCCCCAAAAAAGTAAATATTTCAAACTTTCCCCCCTTGTGTCTTTGGGAGGAATCTATCTTGTGAGAAACCAAAAATAAACACACATCATCACTTCACATAAATGAGATCGTGTGGAAGTTTTAATGAAATTTCTGATAAAGGACAGACAGAGTCATTTCACCCAATAAATGCAATTTCAAGGCATCGAGTTAGTTAAGTCTTTCCAAGGGTGGAGATAGGGAACGCTATCTCTTTCAACGAAAAGCTTTTGGGATTTATACGCTTCAAACGGTATACCCAAATGGTTTAAATGAAGAACTGACGTTAAATTGTTTCTTGTAAACATTTTAATTTGTAATTAAGTTTATTAATTTCTTGTGTTTAATCTGTTGTTTGTTTCCGTTTTATTTTTATTTATTTATTTTCTTATACTTTTCCTTATTATTATTTATTTTTGTAATTGTTTATAAGGGTTACATGTGAGCGGTTTGTTTTGTTGTTACTCTTTGTGTGTCTTTATGTTGGTAACTTGCACATGACTTTGCTGATTGGATGTTAATGGGGTTCACCTGTGATGTTTAAAAGCAATCTCTTTGTTGTTTCACACCACACACTCACTGATGATGGCTTAGGCTGAAACGCGTCTGTGTGGACATAGTATAATAAATATATATGAGATGCAACCATAGAGAGTGCGGTTTTTCATCTTTATTTTGATTACTGTTTTAGAACTCGCACCCACAAACGTCTTGGTAGTTGAGCAATAAATAATGATAACACATTCATTTGGCTGATGAGTATGCAAACTGAAGGTGCATTTAGGGCTCATTAGATAACTCCAAAATCGTTTAAGACCTTGACAAGGACAGTGTCTTTGACGTCGGAGAAGACTTTGCGGATGTTTTTGGTGTCCGTGGCGCAGGTGAAGTGCAAGTAGATTTGTTTGGAGCTCTTTGTCTCTTTGGAAACTGCATTCTGTATATATAAACTTCTGATGAAATCCATGGCATCTTGAGCGTCCCGACGTTTACCTGAAGATGGCATCAAACCACAGAGGAAAGGAAAGAAATCAATTAGGTATGGCAAACAAGAGATGAATGAATGCTGCCTTTCACTTTGATTGAATGTGCACCTAACTACCTTTAAATTCTGGAAAGTATGTTTTTAGATCTGAGAACTGAATCTTTTCAGCCAGGATGTCTTTTTTGTTCAGGAACAGGATGACAGAGGAATTAGCAAACCACTTTGAGTGGATGGTCGTGTAGAACAGTGACAAGCTCTCCTGCATACGGTTCTGTAGCCAAAGAGAGGAAGATTATTTTAATACAAAGAGATTTATCAGTTTTACACTGAAAGGACAGGAGAGATATTAGGAAGCATACATCCTTGTTATTCTCCTCCAGAAGTTGGTCGTACTCGCTCATGGAGGCTAGAAATATGAGCGATGTCACATTTTCAAAGCAATGGATCCACTTCTTTCTCTGTCCTCTCTGACCACCGACATCTACAATCCTGAAAAGACAGACAGAATAGAAATCAAGTTTAGTCACATCCACTTTTATAATTTATCTGGTATGGTGAATTTGCACCAGGCCCAGATTTGTCGGTTCCTTATTCCTTTATCACATTTCTTCTGAATCAGATGGCTTCTCACCTTGATTTTTGATGTACAGAAACACTAGGGACTAAACGAGGTCACACGAGGGCAAATTAAACACTATGGCAACAGATGAACGAGACTAAGAAACTGAAGTAGGAACATTACAAAAAACTAACTCAAAGTCCAACTGAAGCAAAACACTAACAAAGATCTGATGTGACATTGCCCCCTTTCAAAAAGGCATATCCCCATACCTTAAAACAACAACAAAAGTCTAACATGGGAAGGCGGGCAGGGGCTTAGGAGGAGGCCGCAGAGCTGGTAGACGGCAAAAATTCACTGCAAACATGATAATATAATATGATGACCTCTTAGATGTCAAAAGCTCTAGGAAAATTTGATTTCTCAGTTCATCACCCCTTTAAATAAACAAGATTTGGGTTAATCAACCTTAGGAATATGTGGGAATGTTGATGGACTTAATCTATTTCATCTATGTTTTGATCATCGTTATGATGTTCCAACGATCAAAGTTTTCTGAAAAAGATTAGAAAATGCTGCCACTGCCTGGGAACTTTAAAAAAAAACAGGCTGGGAAAGAGTTAAATATACATTTAAAGGTAAATTTAAATATACATTTAAAGGTAAATTTTACATAAATTTAAAGGTATATTTCAAATAAATAAAAAAAGATACCTAAATAGGAACATAGTAGTATACATAAAGTGCAAAGGTGATATATACTGTAAATAGAAAATTATATATATGATGTTATAAGTTCAAGAAAACTTACAAGTACTGTATACTTGCAGTGTAAAACTACTAAACTACTTCAAAGAGTACTTTCATAAACTAAAAATTGTGCTACACGTATTTAATCAGTATACCTATAAGTTCACTTATACACAAGTATACTATTATACACTAAAAATGGGCCAATTTAATCCTTAGTACTAAAAAAGTACACATACAAGTTTACATACTAGTACGTACATTTATATCAGGATACTTACTACATAAAGTACTGTATACTGAAAATATATTTGAACTTAAGTGTTCTTACAAAAAATAAGTATACATTAATTATATTAAGTGGAAACCGTGATACATTGTCATTATTGTGTTATAAAATGACTCATGACGTGATTTTGGTCCAACACAGTCTCATGAAGATGCGTATCTATACCACGAGTGTCATTTCTCGTGGCATTTATACGCCAAAAGTGTTTTTTTCGTGTATATGGTACGCACTAAAAAACCCTGGGTTAGGTTTAGGGGGGAGGGGGGTGGGGAGTTCGTGCGTATTATACGCAAAAAAGTGCGTATCATATGTACGCGAAAATCGCGTGCCAAATACACGCAAAAACTGTTTTTGGCGTATAAATGCCACGAGAAATGACATTCGTGCCATAGACACGAACTTTCATGAGATCGGGCTGTTTTGGTCATATTGCTCACCTCTACTTCCACAGAAGAAAGTCATGACAGTTTCAGGTGAACAGTCTCTTTCAATGCCCGCATAACTTATAATGTTAAGACAGGTTGTCCATTGCCTTACCTGAGAGTCATCTTCTCCAATTCAAAGCAATAGTCTATGATGCCGGAAGTGGGGAATCGGACTTGAAGAATATCTTGATTTGTTGGGATGTAGCCTTCGGCTGTGATGCGATCCAAGTCACCAATAAAGCTTTAAGAAACACGTAATTCAGACACTTCTATTGAAACCCATACCATGTGCCGTAGAATTGGTTATGAAGGCATTGTTTGCATATTTATTTGCATATGATTCATTTCATGAATTGCCATTGGCATTAGGAAAAAGACAAGAGGAAGTAGACAAAGATGAAGGAAGTTACTAAAAGACAGAAATTGAAAACACTTACTACTTAGTGGAGTCTAGTAGCTGATACTCTCTGCGCCGTCCATAGCAGATCTTAACGCCTTGGTCTTCCCATAGTTGACGAATAGCCTCTATGTAATTTCTCTGCAGCTGTGTTATCTGATGTATGTCCAAATCCTTGAACCACTGGGCATAAACCTACAGATATCACAGAATCATGAGACTGCAATTACAATTACAGTGCAAGATCTTTATTAAAAGTGTCCCTATTATGTTATTTTAAAGGTTCCTAAATTTCTCCTCCAAATTTTTTTTTAATGCATCCAAGGTTCAAAACTTGATTTTTTTTTTCTGAAGGTGTCTGAAACGGTTCAACTAAGGATTCAGTCTTTTTAAACCCATCCTTTCCTCTGATTGGTCAGATGGCCCAATTTTATGCGATTGGTCTACTCTTCTCTAACTGGTGTAGTGTTACACATTTATTAAATGTTTAATTTAGGTTCCAGTATTATAGAATATAAACTGAGAAAGTCTAGTAGACTGGATTTAGCATTTGAGGTATAAATGAGCAAGAGATCCTGCCAGTCCTGGTCTCTCTATTGTAAGTTAAATCAATACTCTTTGTCTTTAATGATTGGTCTATTCTGGGGAGCATGGTTCTGTTGTGTAGTTAACTTATATTTGCTTTTTATTTTAATTTTTGTTGTATTACTACTGGACCACTGTACCAAAGGCTGGCATCATGCAATTACAATCTACATAGGTTTGTGCAAGAAGTAAGACTGGAATTACTGACGACTCAGGCAGTTCAGAATCGGTTCTTTCTATTGGGAGACAATGTCCTAAATGGCACCTAAAAATTGAGAGTTTTTCTTAGTTATTATATATGTATAAATAATTTAATAATTCATATTTTTTTATTATCTATAATAAATTTTTTTGTAATTTTATTAACATTTGCCACACCCACCACCACTACCCACAGGATAGTTGATATAAAATGGCCCTCATGAATCTCCGGCTCAACAGAAACACATTCGGCCTCTTGATCACCTCGTTCTGTGGGTTGGAGTAGGGAATCTTTAGCGTGTTCATGGCTTCTGTTATTGCACTCATAGCTTGTAAGATATTCTGGAAAACCAGTTTAGTGTAGCTACGCTTCTCGTCAGTTGAGAAGTCCTTGCCATGAATAATCCTCATTTGCTTCGTAAACGTTGTCTTTCCACTTTCTCCCGTGCCTAAATGAAAGCAAAACATTTTTAATATATATATTTATTTTTAATTTTTAATCTATAATAATTTTATCTTTTTCATTTTTCATTAATTTAATTGTCTTTTCAGAAAGCTCAGTGCTGAGTGTGTTTTGATATTTCTTTCTTAAGTTTTATGAACTCAGAAAATAAACAGATGAGCTGTAGTAATAATAACCTGTAGTTCCTCCTGCAGGGTGGTGGTGATGTAGCGCAAACCCGCTTTTCTACTACAATTGCAAATGTTCGATTGGGTAAATGTCAGGTGAACTTGGAGGCCAAGGCATTAAAGGGACCCTTCACCCATTGGCATTAAGCTTTGTATCTTAAGAAACCCAGTCATATTTTTGAATGGTCATGGTTTATTCCCTTATTTTCCCCTGAGATGGGAGAAATAAGGATTTAAGTGTTTTACTTCCTGCTTATTGTGACGTAAAAATCGTAATTTTCAATTCAAGGGTGTGGGACCCACTCAGCCTACAAGCCTATTATCAGTGGGTGGGACTTCACTTGCAGAAACCATAGACAGTAAAAGAAATGGACAGAGCGATCTCATTGGAACTCCATTGAGACGATTGTAGCCCGTTTTTGGCGATTTTTTTTAGCACTTCCGTCCCTGACGCACAGACTCAAACAGGGCTTGACGTAGTTGTGACGAGAGCAACCGTCTTTCTTCTAGTGCTGTGGCATGAGAAATCTGAATCATTCCCTTCTGAAACTTGCAGAGGCGGAGAGTGTGAGTTGGAGCTGTCCATGAGCTAGGAGAAGGAGACAATTTTGCTAGGTATTCTGATTAATTATTTTGTCATTTTGCCTCCACGTTTCCCCGATTGCGCGCGAGCTTCTTCTCATGTCCATACGGTAATCTCTCTACTGTGCGACAGAGAGTCGCGTGGGTATGATGCAATCGTTAGCCTACTTTCACTAAAACTGCTTCTACGGGGCCATAACATAAGCTACAAGGTAATGGAGCATTTTATACATTGTCGTGTTTCTTTAGAAATAAATAAAGGACAAATGAGGTCTTCAAATGCCTCAGATGTAAAGTTATTCGCTGTCAAAGTGACGCCAAAATGAATGGGAGTCAATGGGAATGCTAACGCAAGTGAAGTTCTGCTACAAGATGGCAGCTCCCGCGAGGCTTCAACTTCAGAAACTGAAATCAATATCAGCCATCTTGTTTGGAAGCAAAGCTAACAAGCGTTGTGGAGATAGGAAGTTATGACAATAATGGAAGAAACTAAACATGATATTGAAGAAGATGATGTTGAAATTCTGCTGCTCGAATCCGATGTTCGTGGCTATCTTTACGAGTCGCAGTATAGTGAAGAGCAGCTGAGGCTGATGGAGGAACAGGAGGCGGCTGCCTGTCGCGGACGAGGAGCCCGGACTGGCTCGAGCTGGGTGGACTGCTGGTGCCTGAGCTTTCGCTGTGCACTACGGACAAAGATAGAGTCCGTCTGCTGAAGAGAATTTCCAGACTGATCTCATGAAATGGCGTATGTATGACACACCAATTCGTATTTTCCATTTTTGGCGTGCTATCAACACGTATCGCTTTTCAGTGTGTTTTATGAATGTCATTGACTTAACGTTACATTACTGTATAAATATATGACCTACCCCAACCCCGTCCCTAAACCTACCCATCACTGGGGTTAATAGCATTTATGAGTCTTCCCTTACCATCTTAGGAAAAAAATAATCGCTCCCCAGATGTAGGTCTACATTTTGCTTCATTTCGCTCAGACATTTAACAGCGTAGACATACACGCATACACGCGGATAGCTCAAAATGCGTATAAATGCGTCATTTTCAGATCTCTCCAGAGAGTATCAATTGTGTTCAAGTCTGGGCTCTGGCTGGGTCACTTAAGGACATTCACAGAGTTGTCCCGTAGCCACTCCTTTGTTATCTTGGCTGTGTGCTTAGGGTCTTTGTCCTGTTGGAAGAGGAACCGTCATCCCAGTCCGAGGTCCAGATCGTTCTCAAGCAGGTTTTCATCAAGGATGTCTCTGTACACTGCTGCATTCAGCTTTCCCTCGATCCTGACTAGTCTCCCAGTTCCTGCCGCTGAAAAGCATCCCCACAGCATGATGCTGCGACCACCACGCTTCACTGTAGGGATGGTGTTGGCCAGGTGATGAGCAGTGCCTGGTTTCTCCCAGACATGATGCTTGCCATTCAGGCCAAAGAGTTCAATCTTTGTTTCTCATGGCCTGAGAGTCCTTCAGGTGCCTTTTGGCAAACTACAGGTGGGCTGTCATGTCTTTTACTGAGGAGTGGCTTACATCTGGCTCTCTACCATACAGACTGATTGGTGGAGTGCTGCAGAGATGGTTGTTCTTCTGGAAGGTTCTCCTCTCTTCACAGAGAAACGCTGGAGCTCTGTCAGAGTGACCACCAGGTTCTTGGTTACCAACTAAGGGCCATCTCCCCCGATCCCTCGGTTACTGACTTATGAATTTCCACATGATTTGTCTTAAATCATATTATAAAAACACCACATAGACATAAACAACATTAAAAACTTGATGTTCACCACAGAGTAAAAAAACCCCAAACTGAGTCTGTGACTAAATTTATTTTCACAAGAAAAAAAGTCTAAGATAAATTCTGTTTTGTGTGCATATTTTATACATTTTTTCACATGATGACTTAAAATGAATCAACATGTTAAAGTTTTAATACAATTCAGATAAAAGACAGAATCATCTCACCTAATAAAAGCAACTTGATTTCTTTCCGTTCTTTTTTCCTCTGCTCTGCAAGGATATGTTGGATTTCCTTATTTATGGCGATGGCGTTCCTCTCATCTTCAGTCAAGAAGTAGGTGCAACATCCACAGCAGTACTTCCCCATTTCTCCAACAGAAATTGAGTAACTACAAAAACATAAAAAAAAATAACTATAGACATTCAGCATTAGCCATATTTTGACCATGTAGTTGGGGTAAATTTATGTTGTTAATTTGGGGGGAAACTTCACAATTGAAAAAATGACGCAATCCCCCTGAATTCACCCTATAATGTTCGAAAATGTAAATTTGGCAGTTTGGGTTTCTTGGACCAGTGTGCGGGGAGCTGGAAATAGAAAACCCGGAGTGGGGTTTGAGCGGAGTAATTACAAAACCTTTTGATGCGGTAGAGATTTAAAACCACTCTTATTCAAACTGGTTTTTAGTTTCTGTGTTGCCAGGTAACACGTAAAGCCGGTATTACTCGATATCAGGGCTGTAACCACCATAGTGTGTTGTTCGGATTATTCTTTAGAAAAGGTTAAAAAGGGTGATCTAACAGCGCTTGTCAATACTAAAATAACTAGATGACCAGTCAATTCCAAGAGGGGCTTTACTGTAACGTTATAAACAGAAGCAGCGCGCGAATTCAGGGCTCCGTTAACGTTACCCTCTAACGTTAGTTTTAACTGCCAGTGCGAGCCGAGGTAAGAAGTAGTTAAACATTTAATATGTTTTTTAACAATATAAATGTTAAATGGACGACGGTAATATCTAGTGAAGCTAACGATTTGTTTTTAAATGTAGCCGTTTTTAATTGAAAAATAGGCCTAATAATTTTGAGCCGAGCATTTTGCAATTTGAATTTTGAAATGTAACAAAATAAAGTTACATAAACGGAAATTAAAGTATTTAACTAGAACTTTAATCCTTAAACCCAAACTAGAACAAGAAAATATAATTTTGTACCCGACGTATCAACAGATCTGGCCTTATTATTAACTGATGTAGCCTATGGAAGGGATTAACACGCTTCAAAAACGACATTGAGGTAAACATTGTATGCTTTGTTGTATTATATTGAATATTGAATGTGAGATGTGTGATATTACATTTTAATTGTTTAAAGCGATATTAATGCACTCAAAAGCACTCTTCCTTAAGCAAAAGTTTTTAACGTAATGTGTAGATCCAAACAACACCTCTAATAGTGTAAAAACAACTCTGTAATAAAATGTAAATGTAGTCTATTAAATAAGTAAACAAAACCATATATCGTATTTAACATCAGCAAAAACTAGGGAAATAGGGTAATAAAGAGAATCACCCACCTTCATTCATACAGCAGGCTTATCTCCCTTGAAACAAACAGTGACCGTGGCACCTTGAAGGAGTTTTCCTGAACGCAGTTTTCTGTAAATTACGTCACGTTCGTTCACTTCAGATTAGTTCCCGAAAGTCTGACATCAATGCATGAAATGCCAGGTATGTTGTTGAGCAGAAGACAACCAATGAGAAGTCAGTGGAATGCGCCATGGGAATTTTCCTCCCAGCCTTCATTTAAAGCGACTGACACATCTTTTTACCTAAAGGTAGCTCTTACCATGGTGTTTATCTGTTTTTGTTGATTTATTATTTACTTGCTTGGGAAGAGTGGGGCTAGTCACACAAGGCATCTGAAAAGCTATATCGGAGTGGGTGCCTCTTTTTTATGCCACAATTTATTAATTACAGTTTTTTTAAAAAACAAAACAAGCAACTCTATCCAAAATTGTCGCTTCACTATTTAATTTTTCAATATTTTGAGTATATAGGCTTTGAGGTTAGATCTGCTTCTTCAAATGGACACCAAAAGCGTGAGCATGTATAGTTATTTTTTAACAAAAGTATAGTAAAAACCTTAATTACATTTCTTTCAAGCATGCTCTGTCATCAATGATGTTAAAACATAGATTATGCAAACATTGCTTTATAAAATGGTAGTGTAGGGGCAGATTCTGTTTCTTAGCCCTAGTTTATGGATGCCGCTCTAATGATTGACAGGTACGCATAGAATGTTGTCTTGCCTTAATGTAGTATTTATTGCCTCCGAATATTGTTTTAGACTATTTAAAGGTGTGGTGGAATTCCACTGGGAATTCCAGTGAGTAAAAGAAAGTCATTTCTACTCTCAGAAAAAACATAAAACAAACACAACAGAATTTCATGGGATGCACATAACTGGTGTGCAGATGCTCATGCATGGTAAAAATAAACGATGTACAGCAGAAAATGTGGAAAGAAGTGCTTTTGAGGACCAACATGTTTACTTACATGTTAGGATTTTGCAGTCTGCAGTTTGTCCCTTGATAACACCAAGGAGGCCACGCTTCTCTGATGGGTCGTCTGCTCCGCCCTGGTCACCTGCACTGCCTGCTCCGTCCTGGCCTCCCGTCCTACCACAGTCTCTAGGCCCTCTTCCGCTCGACGGGCCTGGCACCTCCATCCTCCGCTCCACCACCCTCCTGGACCGTTTCCTGAGGACCGTCTGGAATCCGCTCCTTAAGTGGTGGGCTATGTCATGATTGCTGTCTAGTGTTCTTCTTGTCCTGTTGTTTATTAGTGTAAGGCCTACAAAATTGATCCAAAGACGGCGTTTGATTTGAGGCGAAGGTCTGACGCGTGTTCCGTCTTTCACATGGCAAAGTGATTTTTAATTAAATGCATAACATTTAATCTTATGTATTAACTAGTTTCATCTGACTCCATAAAATGAAAAAAAAAAAGGTTTATCAATGATATCTGTGCATCATTAAATACACGTTAATGTTTGACTATTCCTTTTAACTTTTAAGCCTATTCCTTTTAAGTCTGATAGAATATAACATCAAATATAACAATTTATTATGTCAGGTAAATGTATCATTACAATTGCATAATCAATTGAAAGATAATCAATGCAAACCATCAAATGATTCTAGAACAAAGAACTTTACCCAACATATTTACTACATGAATGCTGAGCCTTGAAGACTCTGCATCATGGGCTGATCTGATACAGAAAAGCAGCCCTGAACTCTCCGTTGCATTTCCTTATATAGTCAAACCTTATGTAAATCATCAGTTTATAGACCATTTCACAAGATGTAAACAACACTGGTCCAGAAACACTTCCTGTTTCAGTTTGTAACTGTTTTCTTTATTTCACATGTAAAGAAAACATCTTAAAGATGTTTGTTTAACTTTTTGATTCAGTTTTAAATGTTCTGTTGGTTGTATTTTATCCCAGCTTTTATGTAGTGTTAAACTGAAACAGGAAGTGCTTCTGGACCAGTGTTGTTTACATCTTGTGAAATGGTCTATAATGGAAAGTTACTGTATTCCCCCAACATATTTACTGGAGAAGATGATCATCTGCTAAAAACAGTGGAAATTAGCATTTACACCTTTGGAATGCCTAGAGACCACATTGCTTTGTGTGTCAGTTATTCCTAAACTTCTTAAAAACCTGCAGTTTTACTTCTTTGGAAATGAGACATCTATACCAGTCACTCTGAGACCTTTAAAATGATATTAAACAATAATTTTGCAAGCAATGCCAATGTCTTTAGGGGCCACTGGTCAGATATTTTCTCTTTAACCAGTTTTCCAGTCTTACATTAGTCTCTCCAGGTGTTTCTAATAAGCCCCGCCCTAATAAAAAAAAATTCTAATAAGAAGAGGGGAAAATTGGGACTTGGCACAACCGAAAATTGGGAAAATTGGCACAACCGAAGCGTGCGCACGCAGAGAGAGAGAGTGGCCGATTTCAGACAATGATAAAACACTGAATGGATTCCTCTTTCATGCTTACATGTGCTTGAATGGACACACAAAATTATGTCAAAATACCTATCTTATCAAGTATTCTCTCAGTTATGTCATAATTGAACAGTTAAAGGATTAGTTCACCCAAAAATGAAAATTAAGTCATTAATTACTCACCCCCATGCTGTACCAACCCAGTAAGACCTTCGTTCGTCTTCGGAAGACAAATATAGATATTTTTGATTAAATTTGAGAGCTGGATCACTGCTACATAGGCTGCCTAAGGGATTGAAACTTGACGGCCCAGAAAGTCAATAAAGAAAATGTTTAAATATTCCATGTGACTACAGTGGCTCAAATATAAGTTTATCAAGTATAAGTTTTCATCGGGAATACTTCTTTATTTTTGTTGTTGTTTTTTCCGCACAAAAAGTATTCTCGTTGCTTGATAAACTTATAGTTGAGCCACTGTAGTCACATGGAATATTTAAACATTTTCTTCAATGACTTTCTGGGCCGTCAAGTTTCGATCCTATGTAGCAGTGATACAGCTCTCAAATTTAATCAAAAATATCTTCATTGGTGTCCTGAAGACGAACGAAGGTCTTACGGGGTTGTATAGGGGTGAGTAATTAATGTCTTAATTTTCATTTTTGGGTAAATGAAAATAAACTATTTAAATGAACTAACCCTTTAAAGTGACAGCAGCATAATATTCCTGCTGATATATGTGCCATTAATGTTAATAATAAAAAAAAAATACAGTTTTAACAAAGATAAACCTATATTTAATTTCTAAAGTGAACAGATAGTGTTAAAGTGAGGAGAGTAGTCAGGAAGAAAGGAATAACGACAGTTTCTAGGGTAAGTGTGTCGACAGTTTCGTATATATACACTACCGGTCAAAAGTTTTAGATCGGTAAGATTTTTTATGTTTTTAAAAAAAGTCTCTTCTGCTCACCAAGGCTGCAATTATTTGATTAAAAAAAAAAAAAAACAAAAAAAAACAGTAATATTGTGAAATATTATCACAGTTTAAAACAGCGGGTTTCTATGTGAATATATAGTGAAGTGTAATTTATTCCTGTGATCAAAGCTGAATTTACAGCATCATTACTCCAGTCTTCAGTGTCACATGATCCTACAGAAATGATTAAAATATGATGCTCAAGAAACATTTATGATTATTATCCATGTTGAAAACAGTTTTTTACATTTTTATTTCAGGATTCTTTGATGAATAGAAAGTTTAAAAGAACAGAACTTATCTGAAATGGAAAGCTTTTGTAACATTAATCACTACCATTCAAAAGTTTGGGGTCAGTAAGAATTTATTTTTTTATTTTTGCGGGAAAGAAATTAGAAAATACTTTTATTCATCAAGGATGAGTTAAATTGATCAAAAGTTACAGTAAAGACATTTATAATCTCAGAAAAGATTACATTTTAAATAAATGCCGTTCTTTTGAACTTTCTATTCATCATAGAATTTTGGTGGAAAAAATGGTACACGACTGTTTTCAACATTGAAAATAATAATTTATGTTTTTTGAGCATAAAATCAGCATATTAGAATGATTTCTGAAGGATCATGTGACACTGAAAACTGATGTGTAAACAGCAACAGTAATGATGTTGAAAATTCAGCTTTCAAATTACATTTTAAAATATATTAAAATTGAAAACAGTCATTTTAAATTGTCATAATATTTCACAATATTACTGTTTGTCATTTTTTTTCATCAAATAAAGCAAGCTTGGTGAGCAGAAGATACTTCATTTAAAAACATAAAAATTCTTACTGATCTAAAACTTTTGAGCAGTAGTCTATATATATATATATACTGTATTGGAGTAGGGAATCTTTAGCGTGTTCATGGCTTCTGTTAGGCTATTGCTCTCATAGCTTGGAAGGTATTCTGGAAAACCAGTTTAGTGTAGCTACGCCTCTCGTCAGTTGAGAAGCCCTTGCCATGAAAAATCCTCATTTGCTTCATAAATGGTGTCTATTATGATAACACATTAATTTGGCTGATGAGTATGCAAACTGAAGGTGCATTTAGGGCTCATTAGATAATTTCAACATACTCTAAGGACTGGACAAGGACAGTGTATTTGACGTCGGAGAAGACTTTGCGGATGTTGTTGGTGTCCGTGGCGCAGGTGAAGTGAGAGTAGATTGGTTTGGATTTCTTTGTATTCTGTTTATATAAACTTCTGACGAAATCCATGGCATCTTGAACGTCCCTACGTTTACCTGAAGATGGCATTAAACCACAGAGGAAAGGAAAGAAAGAGTCAATTAGGTATGACAAACAAGAGATAATGCTGCCTTTCACTTTGATTGAATGTGCACCAATACCTTCAAATTCAGGAAAGTATGTTTTTAGATCTGAGAACTGAATCTTTTCAGCCAGGATGTCCTTTTTGTTCAGGAACAGGATGACAGAGGAATTAGAAAACCACTTTGAGTGGATGGTCGTGTAGAACAGTGACAAGCTCTCCTGCATACGGTTCTGTAGCCAAAGAGAGGAAGATTACTTTAGTACAAAGAGATTTATCAATTTTACACTGAAAGGAGAGATATTAGGAAGCATACATCCTTGTTATTCTCCTCCAGAAGTTGGTCGTACTCGCTCATGGAGGCTAGAAATATGAGCGATGTCACATTTTCAAAGCAATGGATCCACTTCTTTCTCTGTCCTCTCTGACCACCGACATCTACAACCCTGAAAGGACAGACAGAATAGAAATCAAGTTTAGACCCATCTACTTTTATAATTTATCTGGTGTGGTGAATTTGCACCAGGCCCAGATTTGTCCCTAAAATCGGTTCCTTATTCCTTTATCACATTTCTTCTGAATCAGATGGCTTCTCACCTTGATTTTTGATGTACAGAAACACTAGGGACAAACGAGGTCATTAACAAGACACAGTTGAGACACGAGGGCAAATTAAACACTATGGCAACTGATGAACGAGACTAAGAAACAGAACTAGGAACGTTACAAAAAATGAGGATGCACAAATAAGAAATGAGAACCACCCATAGTATGGCACGCTTTTTCTTAGCGTCCATTTCCATGGTGACTCTTCGATTCGTTGCTCTGTTGAGAATGTCTTGTGTGGATAGACCACAATGGACCTCTCTAGATTGACGGAACTTACTGTTTTTGGAACCCGCATACCTCAAGTAAGATTTGGGCTAATTAACCGAGAGTTCTGGGTGTGTTTGACTGTAAGATAACCTTGCTTTCTGGAATACAACTCAGGAATATGTGGGAATGTTGATGGCAGTGTTGTAGTCGAGACCACCTCACTCGAGTCCGAGTCGAGACCGAGACCAGAGAGAGTCGAGTCCGAGTCGAGACCGAGTCTATAGAGAGTCGAGTCGAGACCGAGTCCATAGAGAGTCGAGTCCGAGTCGAGACCGAGACCAGAGAGAGTCGAGTCCGAGTCAAGACCGAGTCCATAGAGAGTCGAGTCCGAGTCAAGACCGAGTCCATAGAGAGTCGAGTCCAAGTCGAGTCCGAGACCAGAGACAGTCGAGTCCAAGTCGAGACCGAGACCAGTGAGGGTTGATTACCTAATTTACTTTTAAATGTACTTAGAGTTTAAGAAATATGATCAGTTTAGGGTAAAAAGGCCACATAGTAGGTGGTGTTAAAAGTAATTTTATTACAATTTGTCATGCGCAGTTGCGCACTAGAAAATCACCAATCACTGGGCGTGTCAATCAATTTAAAGAAATATTTTATTAACATACATTAATAATCATGAAAAATATTTTTGAATTGAACTCGTGTGGACTCGGGAATAAGTACGAGTCCTAAAAAAAAAATTTCCGAGTAAGAGTCAATTCCGAGTCCAAATGCACACGAGTCCATGACAAGACCAAGACCATTAAAATATGGTCTCAAGACCGAGTCCGAGACGAGTCCGAGTCTCGAGTCCTACAACACTGGTTGATGGACTTAATCTACTCTTGATCATCGTTCTGATGTTCCAATCATAAAAGTTTTGTAAAAAAAAAAAAAAAAATGTTGGCACTGCCGTGCTAAAGTACTGTATACTGAAAATATATTTGAACTTGAACTACAAAAAATAAGTATACATTAATTATATTAAGTGGAAACCGTGATACATTGTCATTATTGTGTTATAAAATGACTCATGACTTGATTTTGGTCATATTGCTCACCTCTACTTCCACAATAGAAAGTTATGACAGTTTCAGGTGAACTGTCTCTTTCAATGCCCGCATAACTTATAATGTTAAGACAGGTTGTCCATTGCCTTACCTGAGAGTCATCTTCTCCAATTCAAAGCAATAGTCTATGATGCCGGAAGTGGGGAATCGGACTTGAAGAATATCTTGATTTGTTGGGATGTAGCCTTCGGCTGTGATGCGATCCAAGTCACCAATAAAGCTTTAAGAAACACGTAATTCGGACACTTTTATTGAAACCCATACCATGTGCCGTAGAATTGGTTATGAAGGCTTTGTTTGTATCTATTTGCATATGATTCATTTCATGAATTGCCATTGGCATTAGGAAAAAGACAAGAGGAAATAGACAAAGATGAAGGAAGTTACTAAAAGATAGGAATTGTCTTTAAAACACTTACTACTTAGTGGAGTCTAGTAACTGATACTCTCTGCGCCGTCCATAGCAGATCTTAACGCCTTGGTCTTCCCATAGTTGACGAATAGCCTCTATGTAATTTCTCTGCAGCTGTGTTATCTGATGTATGTCCAAATCCTTGAACCACTGGGCATAAACCTACAGATATCACAGAATCACGAGACTGCAATTACAATTACAGTGCAAGATCTTTATTAAAAGTGTCCCTATTATGCTATTTTAAAGGTACCTGAATTTCTCCTCCAATTTTTTTTTACATGCATCCAAGGTTCAAAACTTTAATTTTCCTCATAATTTACATTGCAGCACCTCCTCTTTCTCACAGTGTCTGAAACGGTTCGATAAAGGATTCAGTCTTTTTAAACCCATCCTTTCCTCTGATTGGTCAGATGGCCCAGTTTTATGTGATTGGTCCACTCTGCTCTAACTGGTGTAGTGTTACACATTTATTAAATGTTTAATTTAGGTTCCAGTACAATAGTATATAAACTGAGAAAGTCTAGTAGACTGAATTTAGCATTTGAGGTATAAATGAGCAAGAGATCCTGCCAGTCCTGGTCTCTCTATTGTAAGTTAAATCAATACTCTTTGTCTTTAATGATTGGTCTATTCTGGGGAGCATGATTCTTTTGTGTAGTTAACTTATATTTGCTTTTTATTTTAATTTTCGTTGTATTGTGCACTACTGGGCCACTGTACCAAAGGCTGGCATTATGCATTTACAATCTACATAGGTTTGTGCAAGAAGTAAGACTGGAATTACTGACGACTCGTTTCAGGCAGTTCAGAATCGGTTCTTCCATTGGTCCTGTCCTAAATGGCACCTACAAATTGTGAGTGTTATTATATATGTATAAATAATTTAATAATTAATATTTTCTATAATATTTCCTATAATACTTAATTTATTAACATTTGCCAAACCCACTACGGTAACGCTTTCTTTTTACAGTACAGTACTTACAGTGTACTTACCTAGAAAGTATTGCTAATATAAGGTAAGTACATGGAACAGGGGTAGGTTCAGGGTTAGTACTAGTTATTACCCAGTAATTGTAGTTACTAAAATAAGTACATAGTATTTACATGGGTAACTGGACTGTAAAAGGAAGCGTTACCCCCACTACTATTATATAGTTATATAATAGTAGTGGGTTTTAAATAGGATTGTTGATATAAAATGGCCCTCATGAATCTCTGGGCTCAACAGAAACACATTCGGCCTCTTGATCACCTCGTTCTGTAGGTTGGAGTAGGGAATCTTTAGCATGTTCATGGCTTCTGTTATTGCACTCATAGCTTGTAAGATATTCTGGAAAACCAGTTTAGTGTAGCTACGCTTCTCGTCAGTTGAGAAGTCCTTGCCATGAATAATCCTCATTTGCTTCATAAACGTTGTCTTTCCACTTTCTCCCGTGCCTAAATGAAAGCAAAACATTTTTAATATATATATTTATTTTTTATAATTTCTTTCATTTTTCATTAAAGGTATTGTAGGTAGGAATTTTATAAAAAAAAATTTTTTTTCCAAATTTGTTTAAACTTTCTGTATATATCAATGCATAATTAAAATGTAAGTACTCTGAAAAAGAAAGTATAAAAATCGAGTGTCTGTAGACGTCTCACGACTGTTTAAAAGACAGCTCATTAATTCCATTCACTTCACCGCCTCCCTTCTGGGCTCCTTCCAAAGCCACGCCCCCAAAACACATGAACGCACGACTCCGACCGCTGAGCTGAAGACGCATTATTTTTCTGAGATGAGCGAGAGGAAGGAGCGCAGTGCATGTAGTGACATCATGTCAGAATCACATGTAATAAAAAAATCTAACTGTATCATTATGAAGATAAACAAATAAGATGTATTTTAGTACTCATTATCAAGCTATTGGTAAAGTTTAAAATATATATTTATTGATTCGCTAACAAGCTAGTTATCTATTAGGCAAAGCTAAAAACAGGTTGCATGATACACGTTTTTCCATAGACATAGACATACAAACATACACGCGGATAGCTCAAAATGCGTGTACAGTAGATAACACGCCACTTGACTTGAAAGCGGCATGTATGTTTACGCAAAAGTCATGATGTCATGTTATCGCATTCCACCAAGGCAGAGCTGGTGCTGGTTTGGAGCCAGAGCAGAGTTTCAAATGGGTTCTTTGTTTTTTGATCACCAAAGCACCAGCTCCGGACCAGTAAAAGTGGTTCTTAAGTAGCACCAAATCATTGCTTGTCGTAATTACCGCTTACGTCAGCGGCTGGGGGCGGGGTTACCGTGACCAACAAGACGAACAGAAACTTGTGACCACCATTTTTTAAATAGCAGCTAATCATGCTAATAGCAGCTCGATTGTAATCTCCGTTAATGCAAGTTACGGCGAGTTGCACGAACGTGCTGGATTCGCCGTGTTAGGATACCGATGGAGGTTTGCAAAACCATGAGCATAGTAACGTGACGGCCACTATTGTTGATTAAATAGTGTTACGAGAGCAGAGCGGCGTGGACTGATCGGAGCTGCGGGAGTGTTTAGAGAGCATACGACTCCTTCTGCTTTTGAATCGAATCTTTTTCGAATGCTTTTTCGAATTGCTCTCAAAGTTCGAGATTCGCAGTGCAGAACCAACTCGAACAAGCCTGGTGTGTCTGTGTGTGCCGCGCTAGCATTGCTGGGCAACATGAGATGCATACAGTAACGTATGTTCTGGCTCTGTGATGGCTCTCTAGCCTGTGGAAAGGCAAACTGGTTCTTGAAAGTTGGTCAGTCGAACCAACTCCGAACCGGCACTAGCTCTACACTGTAAAAAATGATCGTGATTTTAACAGTAAAAGACTGTAAAATGCTTCAGTGAAAAACTGTTAATTGGTTAACAGAAAGTTTCCTTACTATATACGGTAAATAACTGTGATATAAATGATGGTACATTTAATGTAATTTTACTGTAAAATACTGTTACATTTACAGTTTTTGGAAGTGAGAAAGAAGAAGTCATTGTATAATTTACAGTGAAAAAATGTAAATTGACTTTCCCACAATTCCCTGTGTGAATCTTCACACTTAATGTATTTTAACTGTTTCTTCATAATTTTCTTAGTTTTCTTCTAATCAGTTATGTACATTAGGGTTTTATGTTACATTTAATGTCGTTAAATTAAAACTTATTGCATTTTTAAAATTTCAACATACCATGATGATGTTTAGCGTTTGTGTGAATGACACCGTGCAGATTCTATATAAAAGTATTAACTATCTTGTGGAAGAGCTGATTATGATGTGCTTCGATTGATCATTTGATTTTCATTATGGCTGTGATTGTTGTCTGTCAGTGTATTACAATGAAACAAAACAGATATTAATACTTCAAAAGGTCAGTAAATTAACATTATATCAGATAATGAAATACGGTTTATTGCTGTAAATTTAAATACAGTCAAAGTCTGTAAAACCTAAAATGTTTCTACCGTATTTTTAACAGGAAAACTCTGGTATCCACAGCTGCCAGGGTTTTCCTGTAAATTTAACGGATTTTTTTTTACAGTGATAGCTCTGAACTAGCACCTGGTTCTTGTTGGTGGAAAAGGGGTATCAGAGTGACCATTGGGTTCTTGGTCAGCTCCAAGACTAAAGCCCTTCTTCCCCGATTGCTCAGTTGCTGACTTATAAATTTGCACATGGTTTGTCTTAAATCATGTTATAAAAACATCACATATACATAAACAACACTAAAAACTTGATGTACACCACAGAGTAAAAAAACACCAAACTGAATTAGATTTTTCTTTTTCTTCTTTTATTTCACTACCTGAAGAAGGTCGCAAGACCGAAAGCTTGCTAATAAATTGACTTTGCACAGTTTTTGAGTGTGCGGCTGCTATATTTTTACTATTTTTCATGATTATTCAATGCAGCAGCACCTCCCTTCAAGACTTGAGCTGACGGATTACCTGTGGTCCTTTTCAATTCTTTTATTTCACAAAAGAAGTCATGACATCTGAGTTTAGGGGAATTGACGACAGACATCCACTAAAATTACCTGGACCAGGAAATCGTCGCCTAATCGGCTCTTATATAATCACATTTCAGGAAAGTCCCTCGAGAGAAATTGCCTAAAATCGTATTTACTAAAAACAAACTGTTCATGCTCTGACTAAATTTACTTTCACAAGAAAAAAAAAGTCTTCAAATAATTTTTCACCAAGATAAATTCTATTTTGTGTGCTTATTATTTATACCTTTTTCCACATGATGACTTATAATGAATCAACATGTTAAAGTTTTAATACAATTCAGATAAAAGACAGAATCATCTCACCTAATAAAAGCAACTTGATTTCTCTCTGTTCTTTTTTCCTCTGCTCTGCAAGGATATGTTGGATTTCCTTATTTATGGCGATGGCGTTCCTCTCATCTTCAGGCAAGAAATAGGTGCAACATTCACAGCAGTACTTCCCCATTTCTCCAACAGAAATTGAGTAACTACAAAAACATAAAAAAAATAATTATAGACATTCAGCATTAGCCATATTTTGACCATGTGGTTGGGGTGAATTTATGTTGTTAATTTGGGGGAAACTTCCCAATTGCAAAAAGTGATGCGATCCCCCTGAATTCACCCTATTTTCGTAAATGCAAATTTGGCAGTTTGGGTTTCTTGGACTAGTGTACGGGGAGATGGAAATGGAAAACCCGTGGAGTTTTTACAAAACGTTTTGATGTGGTAGAGATGTAAAACCACTCTTACCCAAACTGTTTTTTAGTTGTGACATGTAAAGCCAATATTCCTCGATATCTGTAACCACCATAGTGTGTTGTTCGGATTATTCTTTAGAAAAGGTTAAAAAAGTTATATTTTAGGGTGGTCTAACAGCGCTTGTCAATACTAAAATGACTATGACCATTCAAATCCAAGAAGAGGGGCTTTACTGTAACGTTACGTGTAAGGTATTCAGGGCTCTACCGTTTTAGTTTTAATGGCCAGTGTGAGCCGAAGAAGTAGCTAAACATTTAATATTTGCCAATTGTTTAACAATATAAATGTTAAATGGACAACGGTCTAGTGAAGCAAACTACACGATTTTTCAAATAGCCATTTTGAATTGAAAAATAATTTGAGCCGAGCATTTTGCCATTTAAAATGTAACTAGAACTTTAATCCTTCAACCCAAACAAGAAAATATAATTTTGTCCCCAACTTAACAAAAGATATGGCCTTACGTGAGGTATGGAAGTGATTAACGTTACACTTCAAAAACGACATAAATTGTATGCGTTGATGTGGTATTGCTTAGCTAAAATAATGGAATACATTTGAATTGTTATAGCCTAAATGAAAGCGATATTAGGCTGCACTCAAACCATATAGGCTAAGCACTCTTGCTTAAAATAAGCCAAACTTTATAATGTAATGTGTAGATCCTAACATCACCACTTATAGTGTAAAAACAGCTACAAGTCTGTAATAAAATGTAAATGCAGTATATGACTTAAATAAGTAAACAAATAAACAGTCATATATCGTATTTAACATTAACATTTAACAAAATCACCCACCTTCATTCATACAACAGGCTTTCTACCTTGAAACAAACAGTGACCGTGGCACCTTGAAGGAGTTTTCCTGAACGCAGTTTTCTATAAATCACGTCACGTTCGTTCACTTCAGATTAACCAGTTCCCGAAAGTCTGACATCAATGCAGGAAATGCCAGGTATGTTGTAGAGCAGAAGACAACCAATGAGAAGTCAGTGGAATGCGCCATGGGAATTTTCCTCCCAGCTTTTATTTAAAGTGACACATCTTTTTAACTAAAAGTAGCTCTTTCCATGGTGTTTATTATCTGTTTATGTCGAGTTACTTGCTAGGGTCGAGTTACAGCTAGTTGTCACACATGGAGTCTTAAAAGCTATTTTGGAGTGGTTGCCACTTTTTTGTGCCACAATTTATTAATTACAGTTTTTTTTTTAAACAAAACAAGCAGACTCTATTCAAAATTGTCGCTTCACTATTTAATTTTTTAATATGTTGAATAAATAGGCTATGAGGTAACCTGACGTGCTCGCGCCATGGTCAATTTTCGCTTCAGATGATGGAACCAGGGAAGCAGCCTCCGAGCCGTGCTTTTATACGCTAAGCCACACCCACTTGAGCAGGCTGTGATGCGTAGTCACGTATGGCTCAGTGGTAGGCTGCTGCAGTTGCCATAGAGCAGCCTATGAGCACTCCAGACAGCCTGCTAGGTCTGCTAGCTGCTGCACTGCGTTGACAAAGAATACAAAATTAAGGATCATTTTTGGCTTCAATATCTCGAGAAAAGATTACTTTACCCGTAGCGTAAGCTAAATTTAAGCAATACTCATCCCTCTTTAGAGAGAACCAATGTAACGCTAGGTAACCGAGTATGTTTTGTTTTATTGTAACGTATAAATGTCGCAGAAACGTATTAAAAGCTGTGTTGTGGCAGGGTCCGATCCGATCAAAAGTGGTCGCTATTTCTCATAGCTTACAATAGCATTAAAGTCCACATGAAATTAAAATTGAAGTGTTTTGGGCTTTAGTATGAATACGTTAGCCTCACTGTTATCTATAAGCAAGTGTGCTCCAAAACAAAGACAAAATTTGCATTTAGAAATATAAAGCTTTCAAAAACTTAAGAGTCTTTCACTTCCGCCAAAATGGATCAATGATTTTGATGACATCACTCTGCATTTCATCTTCTCATCGATTTTCTGTCCAATCAACTGCTCTCTCTATAATCTGAAGTGTCCCGCCCCTACACTATAAATAGATGCTAATGCTGCGGCTAAAATCGGTCACGTTCAACACATTAATATTTTCTAATGGTTAATAGTATTTTGTCCCCAATGAAATAAAACCTTACCCATCTAAAACATTCTATTCCAGTCGCGCCGGCAAAGTTGATCAATCAGCTTGGTCATCTGCATTTTCCGGATCAGATTCGGGCTCGAATTGATATGATAGTATACCGACATTATCACCGGTCATTATTGCTTTGAAAGCTGATGTTCCAAATATGGTACGGGGCGTGGCATTTCTGTCACATGCTTGGTTTTCGGGCCAATTACAATGCACTAGATCGCTGGCCAATCAGAGCACTTTGCGCTTTTTAGAAATATGAGCTTTGTAAAACTTGGCCTCATTTCAGAAAGGCAGGTCATAGAGGAGCAACAAAAATGTACGGAATCTGTGCAAAATAATTACTGTTTTTAACCTAAAACCACTTATTTTATTACATTTAACATTGCATTAAACTTAATACACAAAATAATGTCTTTTTAGAACCATCATATGACCCCTTTAAAGTGAAATGGAGGAGATTTGGAGGAAACTGTTGCTTTACAAAGTTCAACAGCTCTGGCCAGCTGTGATATGAACAAAATGTCATTGGCTGTTTTAAAAAAAGAGAAGCTGTTTAATATTTTCCACCCCGTTTTCCTCTTTCAGTGGCAATTACGTCAACACATTGAATAATGCTGCGTGTTTCAAGGCACTTCAGTGGGTCTTTAATGTTTTTTTTGTTTTTTTTTTTTGGTTTAGACTTTAAGTGGAGATGAAAAAAAAAACACTTTCCCTGAGAAATATTCAATGTCAATTATGTGACAACTAGTCTATTTCATTTGTAATTTTACTAGTAACAATTATAATATGGAAATGCAATTATAAGCAATTATTTGATGAATTTGTTGAGATGTCTATGAGCAAGACATACCCCAGCTGCTCCCAACGAGGAGCTACCTACTCGATCTTAGTGCTGCATTTGATGACCACAGCATTCTTTTAAAATAGATTCTTAAAACAAAATAGAAAATTATGTTGGCATGAATGGAATTGCATTAGCTTGGTTTAAATCATACTTATCTGACTGTTATCAGTTTGTACCAGTGAATGAAGAGATGTCTTATTGATCACAAGTTCAGTGTGGCATACCCCAAGGCTCGGTACTAGGACTGTTTCTGTTCACTACATGCTACTCTTGGGAGATATCATTAGGAAGCATGGAATTAGGTTCAGTGTGTTTAATGTGTTTTGAACTGACAGAGTGTGTCTGCTTCCCGGACAATGTTAGGGAGACTGTTCCAAAGTTTAGGTGCTAAATAGGAAAAGGATCTACCGCCAGCAGCAGATATTCTAGGTATTATCAACTGGCTGGAATTTTGAATCGCAATAGACATGAAGGACTATAATGCATTAAGAGAGAACATTTAGTGCTTTGTAAGTAGACAGCAATATTTTAAAAATGTATACACTGTTTAATTGGGAGCCAATGCCGTGTTGACAGAAAC